GAGATTCAATTGTATTGAAATTGCCGACCAATTTTTCGCACACGTATGGTATCCTCCATCGCTCAAACCATTTTTTAACATGTAAACCTATGGGGTAACCATGGAGACTGACCTATTTTTTTAATAACCATGGTTATTAAAAATATTGAAATGTTTTAAGCATGGTTACCGGGAATTTTACAGGAACAGTTGAAGTTTATGAATGCAATTCGACCAATCAGATGGCTGGATTTCTTAAGTGAGGTATATAATGCAGTCTGCTGCAAGCCATCAATAATATTGAAAGCTGCATGTAGTTGTTGGAAATGTTGGACAGGCTTAGTATAAGCAAAATCATGTCTGTGTAAAAATGCACAAATATTGAGCATAGAGGATTCGTTATGTTTCGTCTTTGAGCAAGTTAGGCATAATACCGTCTATAGACGGATTATATCAGTGAACACGTGCTTGAATGCCATCTATGCAATTCAGTTTTGAATGCAGAAATCTCTGTAATATTGATAGCTACCCATTCAGTGTGCCCTTGCAGAATGAAGTCTGTCCGTGACGTGATAATATGAAAAGGAAATGAGGTTGTCTGTGAGCTAATCTAAAGGTATTCCACCAAGCCAAGGTCATGTGGCGGTTGATGTTTGAACTTGATGCTTGGAAGGTTCCACATCAGTTGAGCTGATGAGGAAGCCAGGCTTAGCGGTCTCTAAAAACCAGGGAGTGGTTTGTTCTAGTCATGGGCGTGGCAGGCCCGATTCTATCAGGGGGCTGACGCCTTTCGAGTTTCGACTGAATGTAAACCATAGTTTGAAGTTTTGCGAATGAGCTAATCATACACTGTATTTTAGTGCCAAAATAATTGCGCATTAAACTAAATAGATCTCTATTTTTAAATATTTTTATACTGAAAATGTTAGATTGTGGTTTTCCGAATGGGTTACCCAAATGTTCCCGAAACATAAATTCGGCGACCATGCCGGCCTATCTCAGGCCTTCCTCTCTCTCTTTCTCTCTCTGGGGCCAGGAATATGATAATTTTAGTCATAATTATGCGGACTTTGTCATGCTTTATTTTCTGTACGGGGGCGGTCACCCCCCCCCCCCCCCCAATCCATCTGTAATTTAATTACAGTAATAAGTGAGCTGAGTGTGAAGTAGGAGATTGTTCCATACCGTACCAAAGAAATATCATTTTGCTTTAAATATTCTTGACCTTTGTGGTATGATAATGTTCTCACGTTTTACTATGTACATGTACGGGAAAACTGTTATAAGAGTGTAATTTATCATCGTCATAATTTATAACTTTCTTCTCGATGATAATCATCTTGTATGTGTGATTATGGTTATAATACGATAAACATGAATTTGTATAGTGACGTACATGTAATTGATTTTTACCCTCTCATAATATGCCAAACTTTATAGGCTTCAATATCTTGAATATGCTATATTCCTTCTGCAGTGAATGAGTCTTTTTTTCTACATTTATAACCACTCTATTAATGGTGCTATATCTTTCGGAATTGATCACTGATTATTATTCAGAATGAAATTGATACATTCAGTATTATATTCAGGTTTGGTCTTACACTTACAATAAAATATCTTCTAATTTTATTTTTTCATCAACACATGTATCTTTTGAGTGGATACGCCTGTGATAAAGTGAGTTCGTTTCGAAAACACCATGTGAATATCATGCATCGTTCTGTTATTAGATTTGACATCGACGCATATTTGTCATTCCTTTTCAGAACTTTTTCATCAGGTTATCACTCCACACATTAGTCTTCCCGTTGTTTTTACATTACAGGTACAGTGATCACAGTGTAGTCCAGTGTCAAAGACATAGGCGCACGAGGGGCGGGGGGGGGGGGTTGGAAGTTATCACCTCATATTCAGGTTGCAGCAAGTTGCCCGATTATCATCATGCATAATAACAGTAATATGCCCGTACGCGATATTATGCTCAAAGATAATGCGCTTCGTTGATCCAGGTCGGAAGTGAAGGTCTTTAAAAAAAAAAAAATCTTGACTTTTAAATTTATGAGAATAGAACATTTTGATTTGGTACTCAGATTTGGTTTGGAAGGGGGTATGCGGCTTGAGCGTCTAAACCAATACCCTTTTTAAAGGGTTATTTTGGCAGAAAATTGTACCCATTATTATAGGGCTTCCATTTAAAACACTCATGTTTCCGGGGCGTACGCTCGAGGAAGGGGTGTGGGGAGGGGCGGGGATGGGATTACCCGTTTGAATTAGTCAGAAGCGGAGCTCTAATTAATGATATTGATAAATCTGTGCGACCATCGGCGAGGACTCAAGATGAAAAAGCGAAATTATTTCCATTATTTTTTGAGGGATTTTGCATCTGGAAGTTTTACTTAAGCGAGCCATGATTAGGGTGAGATATTATCCTGAAGAAAATAGTAATCCATGTTTGAGGCCAAGATCTGTAAAGTGGGGGCACTTTTAGGGATTTTGCAGCACAGAACCATACCCCATGTTTAGGGATCTTTTGCAAAGGCGAGCACCCCCCCCCCCCCCCCCCATTTTGGAGAAGTTTCTTTCTTTTTGGGGGGGGGGGGCGCTTATTCGTTTAATAATCAATGTCACCGATGAAGTTATAATCAGACTGAATTCACAATCTGCTCATATCGGTGAATCTCAGAATAAGATGGTTGGAAATTTTAATTACTTGTTTGGTGTAGACCTAATTATGATTACAGTTTCAAGGTAACCGTGTATACAAAATCATAATGGTATGTGAAATACAGTTTTGTATATAGGCCTACTCCTTTTAGTTTCTGTAACATTCTTACCATAATATACGTGGGAACCCCTACTTATGCACGAATTCACCATTGATCAGCATCCTGCATATCTTTCTGTTACGACCGATTAAAAGTAAGATAATTTTGGAATTATCTTAATGTTATTTATAATAACCATCTCCTTGTTCAATATTTGATATCACTTTTTAAAAGAAAATTGTACGTTGTGTGTTAGCCTATAGAGATAAATATAGAGTCGTGAATGAATTTGATCCAGCGAGTGTTGCATTTTTTTAATGAATTATTTATTCTTGATGAATACATGTATCTCATTTGATAAATATACTGACAAATAAAGAAAACAAAGTCTTATATTACTTTTTTGTTTTGTTGTTGAAAATTTGAAATTACGGACTAAATTATGCACCATATTGTATTTACATACACGAATCCTACCCCCCCCCCCCCCCACATCATACTTTAATGATGCCCTTGTAGTATAGTCTTTACTTATAAACACAGTCACATAAACATAAATTTGACACATAACATATCGAGGCCTGTATGGCAACGGAACCAGAAAAGGAAATGTCATCATTTTATAATGCCATCAGTCTCTAGTTATTTTAAAGTGTATAACTCCTCCGTATAATCGGGGAGGTGCGACTACTCGGTACTCACTGAGGTAAGTTTTTTATAACATTCCTCTTGCACGTTCGCCTCCCTGATGTATAATGCCTCCGAACACTGCTGTGCAAATAGCATTAGCGCCATCTTGCGGCATCCTGAAGTTTGATGCTCCATCGTGATGCATTTATTGTTGCCGATGGATGCACCAATTATTTGTCCCCTCTTCTCCGCCCCCCCCCCCCCACTTTCCGTTTAATTGTATTGTGTCTTTAATCCAACAAGAGAGAGAGAGAGAGTGAGAAAAGGAGTGGGGGTTCAGGGGGCGGGGGTATCAATAAAGCAGAAGTGAAAATGAATACACATAAGATGAGAGAAGAGGGTAGACAGAGTTAGAGATTGGGTAGCACTTATGGGTAATTCCATAAATTAGGGACCCACTTTGTGACATTTTTGGCGTCCCACTTATATAAGGAACCCGCACGTATTTATGGCTCTGCATGAGTTAAGACTTAAATAGTGGAATGAGATCGTAAAGTGATTTCCAAGCGTGATATTGCATTCTCGTACCTAAAATCACTCACCATTAAGTGTATTAAGTGGGACACCAGAAATGTCACAAAGTGGGTCCCTAATTGTTGGAATTACCCTTATATGAGATTGGAGATGATCTATTAAAAGCAAAAGTGAAAGACGGGCTGAAGGAGGAAGGCAGAAAGAATTTAAAGGATACAAACATGTACACAAAAATAGAATGTGAAGGGTTAAGTAGAAGAAAAATCCTGTTTATTCCAACTTTTTAAAATAGTAATCTACTTTTTGATATGAAATACTGTATTCCCCTTTTATCAGCAGACTGCTTAAACTTTCACCAAGTCATTTTTACCCCATCACAAATCAAACATACACATCACCTAGCAGGCCATTCACCAATGATATGACATGAATTATTTAGTCATGGGAGAAATATGCAAGAGCCCCTCCCCCCTACAAAACACACACACACGAACAAACATACTCCACTTGCTCATTTCTATGAAGATGTATTTTTTTCCCAAGAGCAGTGTGTGTAAATGTGTACGTGCTTTTTTGTTCAATGATGAATTTGAATTACATGTACTACAATTTTCTTTGCTATTGCAATGATTTGGCTCATCGCCAATCTTTACTTTGGCAAAAGCCTTTGTGTATTGACTACAGCACTTGCCATACTTCACCACGCATGCACATGACAGCATGCCACATGTACAACCCCACCCAATTGCAAACAAAGCATTCAATAAAGTATTATTGTAAAAAAGGATGCAAATGCAATGATAAAAGTTGGTTCCAGATTGATGAATTCCTCAAATTAATATCACTCTTACAATTAAGGTGATAAATAAAATGTATGTGTTGTGACTTCTGTATTGTATGTTTGGGGCCAGAAAAGCCTTAAATGTAACAGTCAATACCCTTCTTGCTCCAAACGAACAGTACGTGCATCACAATTATTGAAAATGTCACTGTATCACTCTACAACACACAACTATCACTCTACAACACACAACTATCACTCTACAACACACAACTATCGCTTAACACACAAAGTATCAATGAACAGTATACATTGAACAAATTTTAATCCAAATCATTTTGAAGTCACCATTCAATTATATCATGCAGTAAATAGACTGCAATGTCTATATCTACACATGTACAAAGTTTGTAATATATTTCACTATCTTAGAGAACAGGGCAGCATTTCACAAAACTGCCTGAAGTACAAGTTCAATGACATCACATTGAAACACATGTTGGTTATGATACATGCACTTCAACAGGATGTTGGCAAACTAGTACCTATGACAGTTTCGTGAAACGCTGCCTAAGTGTCAAAAAGTACACCCCCCCCCCCCCCCCCCCCCCCCCATGGAGTAGTAGCAAGTAGCTCAATGAAAAGGACAAACCAAAACCAAAAGTTAAATAAACCCACTTGGATCTTCCAACTGTGGATGATTGAGTATGTGTACTGTAATCAAAGTCTTTCTGCCCTCCCCTCTGTCCGTTGAAGTACACGGTTTAATCAATTCAAATTTTTCTTTTTAAAAGACTTGTCCAACATATGAAATTGGTCATTTCATTTTGTTTCATGCATTATTCATTCATTTCAGTGTTAAAGAAAATAAAATGTACAACTATGTATATTTACATCAAACATAGCACAAAATTTCACATAGCATACAATACATTTTTACAATGAAGGGTTCACGTTGATTTGATGTTACTAATTGTTCCTTTCAAGACGCGTATCAAGAGATCTTTGAGATACTTGATCTCTTTCTCAAGCCCTTCAGCTTTGTCCTTTAATTCTCTGTTTGTATCTTCAAGTCCTTTCAGCTCACCTTCAACAGCATCGGTTTCAATCCTTTTCTTGACACGATACCTTGTGGCTGCATTCTTGTTTTGGTCACGCTTCCTAGACTTTTTCTCAATGGGAGAAGTGTTCTTAAGTTTGGGCTTTGATTTAGTTCTCTTTGGGGTTGGGCTTGGGGAAGGGGAAGGCATGGGAGATTCCTCCGGGGATGCAGGCATAGATGAATCAATGGAACTGGGAGAGTCAGGAGGCTGTATGAGTTGTTGCTGGATGGCCATTTGGTCTTCAATCATTGGTAGAGTGATAGTTATAACCTGTGCGCCGGAGGGTTCTTGGTTCGTTGTGAACTCCATGCATCCCATCGCATCAAGGAGAGCCAGAGCCTGTTCCTCTAAGTCTCCAACAGGTGCGCTATCGACCCCTGAGACCATAGGGGATGATGGCTCCGATATGAGCTGAGACATTGTCTCCTGATAAACAGGAGAACCAGGATCACTGATGGAGCTCACTGGAGACATAGCCAGCAATGCTTCAGCGGACTGGTCTTCGACTGAGGACGCGGGGGTAGGAGGGACGCCAATCTCAGCAAGGAGCTCCTTGAAGAGTTCTGAATCTTCAGCTGGGGGAGAGGTGGACTTTGGAGGCGGGGAGGATGGGATGGTCATAAGGTCTGCCATTGGGATGTCCTCCTCATCACCGAGCCATGCAGATAAAGAAACTTTCTGAGACATCCAGTCAGGAAGAGGGTCATCTGATACATCTACAATGAGAACAAAAAATGATTTAATTTTACTAATGCAATATCATGAAATCTTAATTAAACAAGTCATTCAATCAATGTTCTTTGTCAAAAACTTATTTATTTCCCCAATAGTCCAATACACAAATTCATGGCTAATCAACAACTCATTATTTCCCCAAAACACAAATCCATGGCTAAACTATGATCAATCTTTTCAAATATCTAATATTTAAGGTCATGGAAAAGACAACTCAGAATTACAGTTCAACTAGCCCTTTCTTTGTTCAGCTAAACACAGCATCCTCCCTCCCAGGTTCAGTAAATAAGAAGTATAAGAGGATGCCATACCTGATTGTGGTGAGTTAGGACCGGTAGAGTCCAAGCCCGACGATAGCTCGGTCTCCTTCAGATGCGAGTCCAGACCAGATCCCAGATGAAATTCCTCTTCATCAGGTAGCTGCCCCCACAGAGAGGCATTGCCGCTGAACAGCGACAGAATCTCGGAATCTTCCATGAATTCCATGTTGCTGGTCTATGTGATACGATGATATAGAAGTTGTCTGGGTTGTTTGCTGTTGTATCTCAGCGGATTGTATTCCAGTGACGTGTGCATCAGATGCAGAGAAGCCATTTTGGAGTCTGTGGAAGAGAGATGAAAAAATATTTTGCTGTTAAAGGAGTGCATAATAAATTGAGAGTTGATAACATACACACAGTCAGTGACACACTAAAGAATTGTGAGTTTTGTGACACATAATAGTATACGTGATAAAAATAGAGTCTTAAAGACACATTTGATCCTGTCAATTAGCGCCTCATTCAATTTTGTGACTGAACATTTGAAGACAAGTTAACAATAACACAGGCTTTAAAGCCTTTGTGAGTGGACCCCACAAAACAGTCAACTGTTCTTCAGGATTTTCATACTTCTTTATCTGCATTTCACCCTGGCCATCAATGTTAGCAGCAAGTACACTATCATCTCAATTCAATTGGGTCAAGAAAGAGAGAAAGTCTCAACTATCACTTGGGAGACAATCTCCGAATTCGGCTGTGCGCCTCTAAGCTCTATGCCCCCCCCCCCCCCCCCCACCCTCGAAAAAAAAAACTCTCATTCTCAAACTACATAACAAAGAATGGCCTGGAATAGCTGCCTGCTTTGAGTTTGACCAGTCGACATAATCTAAATCATACTCATCTCTCTCTCTCTCTCTTGACTCTTGTGTAATGGTTTAATGTAGACCAAGAACCGCTACTTTTCTAGATATAAATGTTTATCTAGAGTCTATAGATCTAGACTAGACTCTAGCTAGATCTTGGATTAGGAAAAGTAAAGACATTTCCATATTGAACTCGTGGACACGATCACGACGGCTCAACCAACCCACACATTCTCAATCATGTTTCATCACTAAAATCACTATTTCCATGCACAAATATTCATAAAAATTCACAACGAAAAAGAAGTGGACTTACGCCATGTTGAAAAAGGCAATTCGTTGCGAATTGCAGACCAGAGGTTTGCAGGTTTCAAAAGTTACACCGCCATTTTGCTGTAAAATTTGTAAGTTCTTTCGATGAATGAATGAAGTAAAATGTGGCTAAGGCGCGCCGGAACTTTTACTAATATAAATTATTGCCGACCCAATCACTAAGAATGTGTAAACTATCAATGCGCGAAAGGGAGCCTCTAATTTCTTCTTTGGACGCTATTAATATCCCTCGAAATTAGCCTAATCGCCTGTTATTTTAACCAGAAGATTCATATCGAATGTATTCTGCATCAACATAGAGGATAATTTAAGGAACCTTTATTTTCTACTTAGAAATATATTGATTGGCGGAAGGTAATATTTCCTCCAGGGGGTAAATAGGCTTTGACGATATTGCATCAGCTTTTGCAAACGCAGCTAGCTCGCTGAAGCGAATCTTGAGCACAGCTTATGATTGGTCGTCGAAGAGAACAACGTCAGGAGATAACGGCATGTGCCTCGAAATAGCACAGTGACGTGAGTAGCTAGATACCAGTTTGAGGCGGTTGCCTATTGTCAATGAGTATGACATTGATATAACCTTCATAATTTCTGCAAGATCATTCATAGCTCTCATACTAGTACATGTATATGAATTGGAACTTATACTAGATAAAAGATATATTTTCTTTTGGATGAAAAATTATAATTACTTGTCCAGTCCCCCCCCCCCCCCCCCCCCCCCCCCCCTGATCGAGAGGCCGTACACGGCGCGGTACTCCTTGCCCTCCCTCGATCCCACTCCCAGAAAAAAAAAGGGGGGGAATCATATATAGACTAGATCAATACCCTAAACGTAAAACTTTTTTTGTTGTGCTACTTTTATTAGGTTCATGTTTGGACTAACTGTTCATGGGTATATAACAAGTTTGGGCAAACTGTATATTTTAAGAAGTCAATCGACCCCCCCCCCCCCCCATTTCTCTCTCTCAATTTCTCTGTCTCTCTCTCTCTCTGTCTCTCTTCATATATTTCCAACCCCCATAAAAAGTTACTACATTTACTAAACACAAAGTTAAAAGAACAGAACCACCAAGAGAAAGATCATATTGATGAAGCATTATCAAACTATATATTTAAGAAGTCATCCCGCTTTCTGTCTCTCTCTCTCTCTCTTCATATATTTCCAACCCCCATAAAAAGTTACTACATTTACTAAACACAAAGTTAAAAGAACAGAACCACCAAGAGAAAGATCATATTGATGAAGCATTGTCATTAGTAAGGTAAAGAATGTATATCTTTATTCATAACATGCATATTATGATGTTCTTTTTTTGTATGTACTTTTTTGCAGTACAAGTTTAAATTTGCTTCCAAAAAACATAACTAATCATGACGAGAAACAGAACTCTACATATATGATACAGCACGTGTAACACATACAGTCATCTCTCACCATTCAATGAAGATAGGATCAAAAGGACACCAACTGCAACAATGTAGTCCAAATCTACCATCTTTTCCAAATTACATAAAAATATTCGAGAGGCAAAAAAGCTGCCCCATCTTTGCTATTTCCAATAATACACGTTTATCTTTGAAAGTCTCTAGATAGTATACGAAGAAAGTACAATAAATTGTCCACCACTTTTTTTATTGGTGAAATACTCAAGAAGCTAGTCGTTTTGAGAATACTGAATACGGCTCAGGAATCACACAATTCTAGATTCTTTTTCTCTTTAAAATATCAATGTCAAATTAAAATCAAAATCCATTCACACAAGTATACCGTTTCCCCCCCACGTACTAACAAAATATATTCTCTGCGTTTGTGCAATGATAGGGTTCAAATCAAGCTGGAAATATGGCGTCTATTTAATCGTATATTTACATGTTGTATATTATACCAAGAGAAAGCTTGTAAATGCAGTAGACAGGATTTACTTTCAACTTCTACTATTCTCAACACTGAAAAACACTCCTGTAATTTCCTGTTTTGATGCTACAGAGTTATTAATGGATCACCTAAATGGGCCAGGCTACAACTTTCAACAAAACTGTTAAATCTAAAAGATATAATGTCTTTCTTTCCAATGTGTCTAGTTTTAATGAAGTAACATAGCATTGGGATGAATATTCTGATCAAAATGAATCCTCAATATATAATAAGAAAAATAAACTAGAGGAGAGGGGAAGATTGATTTGAAAATCCTAGATAACAAAATAATAAAGAGTACTGATATTTCTTCCTTTTTAAAAAGTCTTCAGAATACTGAATCATAAATACATGTACATGCCACAACAATATTTTATCTTAATAAATGAATATGCTTTGAAGAACGACAACAAAATCTTCAATAACTATCATTCACTTTTATCCTCACAAATAGAAGATCAGAATGTGTCATAAAAACTCACCTTCACGAGGCATTCATATACTTGTCTATAATATAATTATTTTCTTACCATTAAATGTAAAATGATGAACACATAAAATATACACTACATATATAACCCATGTTATCAAGATTAATACAGTAGAAAATCACTACTGGTCCACTGGAAAGTTAACTCCAGGGATTCAACCTAATAGGTACAGGTAAAACGTTTTATAAAACACAATGAATTAACAAAAAATGATATGTGGGGAATAAAAGACCATACTCACATGATAAAAACATGATTCTAATTTCAACATGACGAATAGGAGTGTAGGGCTAAAATATCACCATGACAATACCCACTGCTAATACAAAATATGATAAGAATTCAGATTGTCTGCGATAACAAACTCATGGTCAGTAGACAGCATCAAAACCCACCTGATACAGGGATCATCCATCTTTCATTATTTTGTCAATCAAACATTTTTGACAGCATTCTTGCCCATGTTTATTGTTTTCAGAGACATTACATTATATTTTAATAATGTAGTAATAGAATAAAAATATATTTGTTGCCAATTTGAAGAACAATATGGGATCAGTTTAGCCCTAAAAATAAATCCTGTCCTGATAGGGTTATAATAAAATACCATCATCATATTTTAACAATGTAGCAATAAAATAAAAACATAATTGTTGCCAATTTGAAGAATATAATGGGATCAGTTTAGCCCTAAAAATAAATCCTGTCCTGAAATGGTTATAATAAAATACCATAAATCTAGCAAAGACTTTATGTGTGCCTTTAGACTTGGCCTTCTTACAGTCAAGCATACCCTAACACATGATTTGTTTCATACACAATAAAGCAATTCATTCATGAAATAACAAAGAAACTACATCACAGGATACACATTATCCTTCTCTTAAACAATAATAAAACTCAGCAATCATCATTAAAAGAATCCATGATGGTAATATCTTTAGGATTACATTATTCCTGAAACAATTTTAATTATGACTCTAATCGACCTGGAAAGAGTTCTAACTGGTGAGCAAAGATTTTTTTTAATTAATATATATAATTTATGAAATTTTGATTACAGTTGCAAACTTTTAAACTTGTTAACTTTCAGAGTTCAAAATTGTGATATCATGTACCAAATGTTAAATGAGAGATTAAGAAATTTGGCCCCAAAGTATCATGTCTTGAGAATATCAGCAGAAGCTGGGTTTTTAAGACCTATGAGATCTGCTTGTTCAAATCTGGACCAGACCTTTAACATAACTCAGGTCTAATCCTAGGTTCGTTTACAGGAAGACCGGACTGCTGAATACTAGATGAAATTAAATCTTCCTTCACTATTTCTTTTTATCTTCATTATTCGTTTTTTATACAACTAAATATAGCAACAAATTTACAACAAAATAATTATGCATTTTTAAATTTGAGACATGCCAGTTTTCACATGAAATAAAAAGTAACGTCACCTACATGACAATAGTGTGGAACAGAAGGGAACTAATCTATAACTTGAGTTGCTTTACATATCACACCGACATACATAACATCCCATCTAACATACAGCTGCTTAACACATCATGAATCATATACCTGAATGTTTCCAACACTGATGAAAGCTACAAGATATACTTTGCAAAATCAATTCACATGACCAGAAATAAGTCTACATATTAAGTATTATACTATGAGTATCATGTAAATACATGGTCTCATACCAGAAGTGCAATTTATATTAAAGAATAACTGCTACGGTTACAGACATCTTGATACAGCAGGAATCTTTTGCTTATATCCTTTCTCCTCATTGTAGTATTATAATCTTGCTTAAGTTGTAGGATTTTTTTTTGCATTTGTTGTTCTAGCACATCAAATTGAACTCATGGTCCTAAACTCTTTATATGCCACACAAGCAATCTCCATGTGCAACATCATAATATACCAAAGGCTTCCAGATTATTTCACTATTTCCAGTTCAAGATTAAAGATAAAGACCAGTTATGGTCATGCGATTGCATTGTGAAAGAAACGTTGTGAAATCGATCAGAAAAGGTTGATCCTTTAGCATATAAGTATTGGTGTGTACTGCAATGTTCTGGAATCATCAAAATGATTAGAAATTTGGCCCAATCTTGATAAAGTAACAAGCACTGTACACAGAAAGATATATATGGGACTACCACCACACGTGCGCGACACATGCGTTATATCTATCAGGTTCAAATAGATAATACATCAATTGGTAGGCGGTTTCTCGCCAAAATTTATTTGATCACGTATTAGTCAAACATATTCTTTCACATGATTGGTGATAAGAGCTTCCATTTCATTTTTTGAGAGGGGGGCGTTTCCAAAACTGGTCTTTACCTTTACTCTATACCGGTGTTAAAAGGATTGTCTTGGAGCTAATCAAGACCGCAAAAGGGTAATTTTGCAAAGCTACTTTGAGATAAGTGAAATTTTCATTGAGATATTTGCTTATTCTGTAAAAGAAACTGCAAGTATTTGAATTTGAAGAAAAGCTTGGAAGAGTTTTTTTTTAAATTGATGGAACTAAAAGCATGAAAATGGTATGATGGTGTTACCTGTTGTACATATAGCCTTAACAAGTGTCAAACTAAAATACATTACCGGTATGCATTGGAACAAAGTGACATACTGCCGACCTAAACCAATTGTCACCCATGAAATGGATTCAGTCCTACTTTATGGAAGATAAAATGAAACTTAACTTAACCCTGAAAATCATGGCAAACATTTTAAGCATCACCCACCAAGTATAAATATTGGAACGGAAGATATCTGAGCAAGGTTTTGAATACTTCAATGCATTACAAAGTCAATTTATTCCACTTAAATGTGGCGGTAGGTAAACTAAAGTATAACAAAAAGGAAAAAAAGGGGAAGCTCTTTTTCCATCTGTTCTGTTAGTATTCATCTTTATAGATGCCACTTGAATTCCAGTAAAAAGAAACAAGTTTAGAGATTTGGATTGACCCTCTCAAAAACTTTAACATACAATTAAAGCTTAGTATGGTATTTTTGCTTTTTGATTGTGAAATGGATACTAGCGTTAAAGCATGAAAGGAACAAAAATCATACAGGGATAGCTAAAAAATTGCTTTCAAGACTACAACATGGCACACAAGCTTATCAGGAATTTAATACTCTACACGAAGATCATAACTTGTTAAAGGGATAGTCAAGTTCTTGTTTCAGACCGCAAATGCCTTCGAAGTGCATAGTTATTGCTCTTATTCTTATCTATGACATTTTTAGTGCTCTCTTAGGACCTAAAATTGCTATGAAGGTAATTTTAGACCCCAAAATGTGTGAAATTTAGCCAATACGATCATACTAATTCAGCTCCACTTTCAAACACATATGGTGACCGTTAATTAATTAATCAATAATAACAATACACGGGCCGGCTGGTTGTGCATATTATAACCAACATGAAAAAGCCAAAATTGGCATTGGCTGCAATAAAACGTACAAGGCGCTATCATGTTTTTCAACGACTGGTTCAAATATTACAAATAGTTTTATTTAAGGATATTTCAGCCATCTCTGAACCGATTTTGATCAAACAAAGATGATTTTGTCATTTAAATTGTAACAAAACTCAACTATCCCTTTAATACATAGTAACTAATAATAAATAGAAAAGGATGATGCTTTGAATTCGCTTTGAAACAGGGTGTGTGAAAGCAGCATGGATATGGAAGAATTATTGAGAGGAACTTGCGTCGTATAAACACATCTAGGGGGGGGGGGGGGGCTTGCTAGCATAGGCTAGGGTACATCATGGTAAATACTCAACAATAATCTCAAATGAACATGAACAAATCACACTTGAATTATGTGATACTGTCATACTGATACTACAAACACAATTTGAAACAATAATAAACATAACTGTCAACCCTTACCCCTCCATCCCCCCCCACTTTCTCTCTCATGCTCTCTCTCTCTCTCTCTCCCTCTCTCTCTCTCTCTCCCTCCCTCTATGACCTTTCCCTCACGACAAACTACAATGGAACATAGAGACATGAAATCAAACTGATTAAGTTGGAAAGCTGATATGTTTGGATAATCATTTGACACCAAAGCCACGCCCTCTACCCCAGGAGGAGCCACCCCACAGTCAGAGGGGTGCAGGAACCACTACGTTGGTCTTGTTATTAACCTGTATGTGACATACAGGGCATTCACAGACAGTGGTAGCGCATGATGAACAGAGGGCTAGGTGTTGGCATGGTCCTACCACCACGCTACGCTCACGGTCCTGACATAGGCAGCATGTGAAGTTCTCTCTTATATGCAACACCTGCAAAAGATACATCAAGAAAGGAAATTTATTTATTTATTTATTTATTTATTTATTTATTTCTGATATTCATACAGGGTGGCACATATCACCGATTTGGTGGTCTTCCATGAGGCCCTGTTTGGTAAGAATAAAACAAATAACAGCAGCTAAATCAAAATAGATAAAGATACAAGCATATGAACAGGTAAACACAAATCAATTGATATCCTCATGAAATAACTGATCATTTAAGAATTATCCTTGATCATTAACAAAAAACATGTGAATGGAATTTTCAATTTAAATAGAAAATATGTATACAAAAACTAGATGGAACTTCGACTGCACGCAGTCGAAATGATGCCTCCGTCATAGAGCAATTTACAAACCAAAACAGAAGAAATTTTTCAAATTCAAGTTCAATCCATTAACAAGTTCTCAGAATATTGTGATTACAAGCAATTTCTCATATACATATATGACCCTTTGATCTTTGACCTCATGACCCTAACATCTACTCAGTTCATTGGCTCTGCAAGATGTCCCGAGTTAAATAGTAATCCATCTGTCAGTTCTAATGAGAATGCGTTCACAAGCTATTTTTGCATACATTATGAGCCCATGACCTTTGACCTTTGACCTCATGACCAAAGAATCTACTCAGTTCATTGGCTCTGCAAGATGCATACATGATCTAAGTTTGGCAGGAATCCATCAATCTGTTCTAATGATAATGCGATCACAAGCTATTTTCGCATACATAATGAGCCGCATGACTTTTGACCTTGACCTCATGACCCCAAAATCTAATCAGTTCATCGGCTTCGCAAGTAACATACATGACCTACGTTTGGCAGGAATCCTTCAATCGGTTCTTCGGATAACGCGATCACGAGCTGTTTTTGCATACATGAGCCCTGTGACCTTTGACCTTTGACCTCGTGACCCCAAAATCTAATCAGTTCATTGGCTCTGCAAGATACATACATGACCAAATTTTAGCAGGAATCCATCAATGGGTTCTTTGGATAACGCGATCACGAGCTGTTTTTGCATACATAATGAGCCCTGTGACCTTTGACCTTTGACCTCGTGACCCCAAAATCTAATCAGTTCATCGACTCTGCAAGATACATACATGACCACAGTTTGGCAGGAATCCATCAATCGGTTCTTCAGATAATGCGATCACGAGAATGGGACGTACGGACGGACGGACGGACAACCAGAAAACATAATGCCTCCGGCTACTTCGTAACGGAGGCATAAAAATACATCCCAGTAAGCTATATAAATATGTTTTTGCATCAGAGCAACTACTCTTCCTACATTTACCCTCCCCCACTTTCCCATAAAACTTGTGCTGCTGGACAGACCAAGAGGATTTTCAGTCCTCTTATTAATATGGTCTAATTTCAAGGAATTTGATAATTGCTTTCATTTTTAACACCCTAAGCAAAACAAAACAAAATCCCCCCCCCCCCCCCCGTAAAAAAAAATGAAGGGGAAGAGTAGTTAGAACAAATTCCTGACATGAACCAAGAGAGTGTTTTACAAAGACTAAGATCGACTTTAAGTTGAACTTAACTATGGGAGGCCGTTTATGCCACTGTTTGCTCTCACAATTTACTGGCATTGGTCTCTCAAGGGACTTACAAATCATGGTCACAAATCTACAGAATTTATATTTTTTTGATAATTCATTAAAATATTACCTAAAGGTCATAATGGTTAGAGTAAACAGTGGCATGAACGGCCTGCCATAGTTAAGTCCAACTTAAACTCGATCTAAGTCTTTGTGAAACACTCCCCAGTACTACTAATACTGTTCTAGAAGGGGGACATGGAAAGATCTTGTTACACTCACCTTTTCAACCCTTTCTAAATCCAGTTTGAGCTGTGATTGTAGTTGTTTAAGCTTGTTCATTGGTAAATTTGACAGTTCCGCTACCTTGTTAAGCACATGTAAATGCGGTCCTCCTGATAAGCCTTCTATTTCTTGCTTTAGTATTCTAGATTCAGTGAAAGCCTGTAGGGGAGAAAGACGATAAACTTAGAATATGATATAGTTTCATGCTCTGATGATTATATCAATCAACGGCAAACCAAGCAATCTGTGCACAGCATGCTTGTTGTCTGAAAGGCTAATCTCAGCATGATGTGCATAACAAGATTTAAGAGACTACAAATCTATTGTGACATAACAAGCAAGATTTGTCGCACTATGAAACAGCAGCATCGAAACATGGAATTATATGTGACAATATTACGTATTCATAGAAGTACTTATATAAATCAGCATAAATGACTGGCCAAACTGATGACTACCTATATATCTCTAAAATGATAAAAATGACTACATCTTCCATTGACACAGAACTGCCAACTTCATTGAAACATGTCAATATTTTAGTCACTAAAAATTTGTATAACTAAAATTACAGTACAATTATTTAAAAAACTTGATCCAAAAGAAGTCGGTATTCATTTAAGACCATCAGGTTTCCTATAAGCTTTTATTAATGATTATGACTGTACTACTATACATTACATGATGATTGTACTACTGTACAGCTTTTGTTGTTCCAATGTTTCAAATATTTGTAATGAAGGTCAATATTCTCACTTCAAACAGACAAACAAACACTCTATTCTAGGATTTAAGTGACATAAAACTTTTTAAGTCACACATAGAATTTACAAATAAATGGTAAAAGTTCACTTGAATTACTTCAAATGCATTACTAAGATGATGGGTCTACACAAATATGAGGAGAGATTGAACAATGAGGATATAAACACTACTGGGTTTACTTGTATTATTAGAAGGATGCACAAATTAAATCACTCTATTAAAACATAACACATATCAATGATGAATCGATAAAGGTGGTTTCTTCCATGCAATCTCAAAGGATTTGAACAAAAGAGTGAATAGTCAATGGGTCAGTCCACCTTTTAACCAAGAGATTTTGTAGTTCAACATTAATTTTCTCTTCACGATCCTATATCAATGTGATTCGCTTGTTCTTTAAAATCCAAAGTCACAAGAGTTTAAGCAATAGTCAATGGGTTTCACTCTAAAGGTGTTCTGTAAATCCAGAAATTTTCACGTGTTTTATAAACGCAAAAATTTCTTGTTTAAAAATAACTGAATTTCAATTTCACAACTGACACAACACTGGATTGTGACATGAAAATGGCTGCCAAAATGCTATTTCAATTCATAAAAGTTTCTGGGTTTCTTAGGAGTAAGGGACATTTTGATGAGATAAGTATCAACCCATAATGATGGTTTCAAATAAAGTTTGCCTAAATGTTAGTGTGATATAGTGGTGGACAACTTTTATATTTGTCTCAACACACAAAATGATGATTTTTTTTAATACTTTTTAATATTTTTTAGAGGACCAATGATAGCCTGCTATACATTAAAATATCTATGTATTAGCCCAACGGAGAATACGCTAAGGAGGTAAACAGAAATTAGTGATCTTTTTTAATGCGACAAACAGGAAAGTTGTCCGTGACTACATCACAATCCACTGACCAAATTACCAATATGAGATTCACACAGATGAAGTGATTCGTATTTCAAACATTCATAAATTTTTCATTATTGGTCTAAATTATTTCAAACTATCACAATTCCATTTCTCTCATTTTGTCTGCTTTCATAACAAATGAACTCATAAGAACGGTTGGATTGCCCTTTCAAAGTTGATTGAGAGTACCGTAAGTAAGAAGTATGTGTTACCTCTTCTTTTCTTTGTAATGCAGAATTCTTTTCTAATTCAGCATGCTTAGCTTTTTCTTGAGAATCCGTAGCCTCACGTTTCCATGCATCACATGCCTGTAAGAATCAAATGAAAACAAAACAAAGACCTCGCCAAAACTAGTCAAAATGCATTCATTTTTTTTAAAAGAAAAGCGTTAGCGGAGTATCAATGATTTTAGTAGACATGTTGAAATGCCCTTAAATTTTACTAGTACAAATGAGGGACAATGTCTTACTTGTTTCATTCAATAACTGGCTCTTTTAAAGGTCCACTGTACTACTTGTAGCTACTAGCTCCCTCTATATAGAAAACAATGCCTTATCAGTGACCATTGGTCCCCCATGATCCTCTTTTTCTTATGTTAACTGAGAGCTGAGTTGATGAGATAGCCACTCGTCATTGACCTCCCTGGGTGGTCTAATCCCTCCTAGCCAAACTAGTACAGACGGCCTTTAATAGGTGATTTCATTCTCTATTTTCAAAAAAATGATACATGTACACCAGCTCTTTCTAGAAATGCACCTGACACCTTCAAAGCATATCACATGGTTTGTCAATCCTAGCAATTGTTTGGAATAGCAAAATGAAGTGTGTTGTCAACGATATGTCAGGAGAGAAATGTCTATTAACTTGAATGTTTCATGAAAATTATATATACAGGGAATAATTTTCCTGGTATCGCATCGCAATTTGCTATGCATTTTTGCATGACTGCTATACAAAATATCTTTTGTGTAGCAGTTTTCTTCCATAGAAATGTACAGAATTTCATTTGAAATATTTATCCATCGGCTGAAATTGCTAATCAAAAAATTTGAGGAAAATTATTCCCTGATATATATATATATATATATGCCTGAACTTGCTGAGAATTTAATGACTGTATAATAGATTTTCCTTAATATAAGAAAAGTAGTAACTGTCAAAATGTTGACTATATGAGAAATGAGAAATGCTCTCTGTGATAAAGTTAAAATGTATTTTTAATATATCTTTAACACATGTATGGAAGTTGTTGTTCTTTATCAAATCTATAACACAGCCATTACGTTGCTTCATCCTAACCTTTGCAATCTAGCATTCATGGCTTTTCATGCTAAAAGTTATGAAATTCGTCACGCTTGTCTTTAAAATCACATCGGTTATGAAATTCACGTGTTACCTCTCCATTTTCCCTTTTACAAAGTCCTTCGTTTCAATATGTACGACATAATGTGGTCTTCATGTCTGACTTTGAGTATGAATCCCAAAAAGGCTAGCCTCTTCAATGAGTTCCTAGATGTCCGTCTGTTTGGTGTTTTTGTTTTCTTATTAAAGACCTCTTTACTGCTCCAGTATTAGCATTTCACCTCTTGAGTGCTGACTCATACATGTGTAGTAATACCAGCTATTCTGAAGGCATCTTTAATATTATTATTTTCAAATGAGTGGATTTCATGTGTATGATTGAGGAAATACTTAAAATCATACAAATATTTTAATGTTGGGCAATTCCACGGTAACGGAAGGACACTCTGACAAGATTTTTGAACTTCAGGTTCATACTAAAAGAACTGTTTTATTAGTATAAGATGTGAAACAGTACAGATATAATACCTATATAAGTGCCTTTAATTCTCCCCAAAAAAATTGTCATTATAGTTAAGTAGTTTAAGAATGTGCATATTAATTATCTCGGTAACGGAAGGACATAAAAATGGACATGGTTTTTCCAGTTAATTAGTGTTTATCCAAACTTTGTGAAGTTGATGAAGCTTTCCACTTGACTGAAACACATTTTGTTCCCCATAGTTTAATACATACTAATAAAACATTTCTTTTAGTATGAACCTGAAGTTCAAAAATCTTGTCTGAGTGTCCTTCCGTTACCGTGGAATTGCCCTGTTATAAAAATCTATATCAAAATAGAAGCAAGTAAAGTGTTGCTTTTTGTGTGTGTATGTGTGTGTTCTTATTTCTTTGGGGGAAATAAAATCATTTCAATGTTGTTTTTTATGAAACAATGCATTCCTGGTAATGACTGGTAATTTGAGGTGAACAGTACTCTTTATCATATCAGTTCCACTTCCTTGTTGCACTTTACAAGCAGATAGCAGGTGAATGAAATCAAGTTTGAGAATATGAAATGTGTCATGAAACACTGTCTTCCTTCTCATGTCTCATTGTACCGGTTCCTTTTGAGAGTCTTAACTTAATGTTACAATCTAGAGAGAAGCCATGTGTTAATAAGTTTTTATCTGGATATGTAAATGTGCATAGTGATAAAGATATTCAATTACTACTCACTTAGTTAAATCAACATAAATTCCAAAGGATCTACTCAACATGCACCATGTGTTACTTATAAATACTAACAGCACTTCAAAATGATTAACCCCTTAGCACCTTCTGACTGCATACTAGGTTTGAATGGTTCTTGATAGAGTGAAATAACTAATAACCAGTTCACACTATGGGAAATTTACATGAATCGTTGTATAAAGAATCATAACTGAAAGGAGCATACAGACTAGAAAATAACATCGTATAAAGAAACGTCGTATAAACTGATTTTGATGAGGTCAGTTGACACAACAGCTTTCCAATCATTAGTTCAAGCTCATAATAAGACCCTCCCAGTTATGCTATTTTTTTAACAATACAATGCTTTATATATATATATATAACGTTCCATTATACAACGTTTCTTTACATGACATTCGGACTAAGAAAAATTTCATCACAGCTATACAATGAATGCTAGTAGTGTGAACACAGCAGGGTTAAGGAAGAAAACCGTTTCAGTTAATTATAGAATCAACATGGGATCCCCAAGGTATGAATTGTGAGACATCTTCACACGAGACAACAAAACTTTGGAGGTATGGCATGTGAAAGGTTATAGATAGGTAATTCGAGAAACGGTAGGTCCAATTTGAAGCCATAAAGGTACTAAAGAAGGTGCTAAAGGGTTAACAATGAAAACAAGTAGTAAAACCAAACATTCACTGTGTTAGTGGATATGATCTACAACGAGGGGGTGCTTTGTTGGATAGGTAGCTGAGAGAGTCTCACCTGTTTCGCCTGCGCCCATGACTCTTCCCACTTCTGCACCTGCCCTCTCAGCGTGTTGCACTCTTCTTGTAACCTGCCTACATCGGTGGTGTCGCCCTCGCCTCCACCGGTATGGTTCTGCCCCCCTGACCGGGTCCCACCGCTGGTAGAGTTAGATGCAGAGGTTGTCATAGGTGTGTTAGAGCTGGGAGACCCTGAGGCCGATCCTATAGGGTCTCCTAGCATGTGGCCTAGACCCATATGCCTTAGACTAGATGGTGCTGTGTTAGGTTGACTCATAAATGCAGCTGCAGCCTGGTACGGACATAAGGATAACAAAAAATACTCAACTTCACTTTTGTTCATTATGATTTCATTATGATTCAGTGACACAAACACTTAACTCCATATTTTGCCAAAATGAGTATTTGATATCAAAATGTTCAGAAAAATGTGGGCTTTCCAGGAAACACAAAGACGTTATTCCACCCAACAACCCATTGATGTCAATGGCTAGTGAAACATAGACTTAACTCCTCAAGGCCCAAGTGCTCAATGACACATAAACCACTTTTTCTCAAAATGGAGTTACATCTTTGCGTCACTGAACCCTCAATATATTGCAGCATGGTTAAACTTGTTTCAGCCAGGGGATATTCTTCAACTGGTCTATCACTGTTCATGAACCTCAAGGCACTGCCACTTTCATCATTAAACTTTCACCTCTTCATATTGCCATTCTCATCAAATTTGTTCCGTTATTATGTCCCTCTTTCCATCCAAACAAATTGAATTTGACCTACCTAACCTAGCACTGATAAGCACAAATTTTGCATTTCTCTTTTTTTTTAATTTTCATACACTAACAATCAACGTCTGACGTAAAGGAAAGAGTTCAATGACACATCCAAATTTAATTCCAGTCAAACCTGCTTTAGTTACCCCCTGTCTACAAAGACCACCTGTCTACAACAAGCACATTTTTGGTATTGATGTAATACTGGTCATTTAAAGGCCCACTGTACTACTTGTAGCTACTTGCTCCCTCTAAATAGAAAACAATGCCCAATTTGTGGCTGTTGGTCCCCCATTATCCTCTTTCTCTTATGTTAATTGAAAGCTGAGTTGATGAGATAGCCACCTGTCAGTGACCTTGCTGGGTGGTCTAATCCCTCCTGTCCACACTAGTACAGACAGCCTTAACTGACTGGTGGCCTAAAAGACCTTTACTCTGACTTGAAAGCATGGCATAACATAAAATAGAGATTAAACTATTCATATTGGGACCTTACTCGGGTAGAAAATTCCAATTCTTTCTAATTACAATCTCATTTTAAAACGTGTTGTAAAATGTGCAGTGGCCTCTGTGCATTAAACAACCATTTAACACAACTACGGCTGTTTTTATTTTCCAGGGAAACAAGACCCTGTCTATTGTTGTTGTCACTGACCTGCTCAATTTGTTGTTGTTGATGTTGCTGCTGTTGTATGTGTTGTGGAACAAACGCTGGTGGTAGGCCCGAGAGAGGAGAAGCCGGACTCTCAGGCATAGAAGACTTATGATTAAGACTGCTACTGGTTGGGATGTTGACTGGTGCTGACGATCCTAAGCTCAAACCTGACAAAAAAGATGGAAAAGTAGCTGGCGCTTACGGTACCAACAATTTGAAAAAGCTGGTGTTATGAGGAATCATCGATCATGTTTAAACTGGTACATACATTGTAAATATTTCATCTGTTTATGGTAGTCCATAATGGTGTTGAGTCTGTACCTAAGTATAAGGGTAAATGCATGTATGACTCCTAACAGACACTATGAGGAAAATAATAACATGACATACCTGCCAACATTTGAAAATAAGAAATTTGTACCCTTAGCTGGGGTCTTGGGGCGCAGACCGGGTAACAGGCAAACATGTACGTGTGTATTGAACAGGTGATCAAACGGCCTTACCATGGCCATGTATGCAGTGGCAGTGTAACTGGCAATACGCAGGAAATCTGTGCACAAAAGCGAATACAAATTTGCTGCTCGATCGTGCAGCCATTCCACGCACGCAATACATGAAATCTCAAATCGCGGCACATGGTAAAACTAAATTTGGCTTTAAAATTTTTTTATTAATTTTTTTATTCAGAATTTTGAAAATTCAGAATATTCTGAATGTTTAGGTCCTAAAAAATTCTGATTAAAACGAAACAGTTGGCAGGTATGACATGATGTGTGAACATCCAAGAAATAAGTTTTGCTTCAGAACACAGTGAACAGCCTCATGCAATAAAGACTGATGATGTTAAGGCAGCCTCAATGGAAAGTGCTTTCTGTGCATGAAATCATTAATATGGGGAGTATAATAATGTTGTGCTTGCTTGGTTGGTTTCATGGTTTCTAAAAGACTGAAATGAGCTTTCCTTCGAGCAAGACTTTCATAATGCATGTACATGTATAAACATAAGCTGAAGAACTTAACAGTTTTCATATCCAGAAATTAGAAATTTAGAATCGTATAAATTACAACCCTTTTCCTTAAAATAAAAAAAGTGAAGTAATTTTTGTTTAATGTTAAATTAACATTTAAATGAAAAAGACATTTTATACACTATTTCTGGAGAGACTATACACTGTATAGACTTCAAGATCAGGAACAGATTATATGTAGAGGTTCACAATAAAAATTGTTAATTAGTATGAAAAAGGTGAACAAGAATGGATCCAAACAGCAGACAACATGTCATAGATATTTCAAACACAATAATAAAATATGGTGAAGTTTTGGTGAAATATAACTGGCCGATTACTCATAAACACTCTTTTCTTTAACATTATGCAGCCAAGTAGCATGCATTTGATATGAAAAGCTAACTTTCATGCTTTCTTTGAAAATGAATTCATAACATAAGATAACAAAATAATAGCACGTTTTTTAAACATAACCTACCAAGTTCCAACTCTACATACTACAAAAGCTATTCGAGATATATTCAGATAGTTTATGGCATTTCTTAAAGCTTTTGAATCTACAGATACGTGCAAATCTATGAGAATACATCAGCTTTTTTGGAGCCAGAAGGGCATCAACCTATATACTTTAACACAGAGTTAACTCCCTTATGGCTCTGTACAGCTGACCTATCCTTCTCAGCTCTACATTAAGTTCTATTTATATTGTGTGCATATTGCTACAAGCTACCTCAATGGGAAGGAGGATGCATCATGCATACACTTCAACTAAAAAATAAAGACCGATTTAGAATAGTATTGCTATCTTTCATAAAACCATTATTTTAAAGCGTTAACTATTGTTTTAGTTGTGTGCAGAGAGAGAGAACCGATCTAGGATGGTTTATATTAAAGACTTACCCATTGGTAAATGGCCCAAACTTGTAGTAGAACTGCCTATTGATGAATTGTCATTGTCCAACTCTTTGTCTATGGCTGCTACATCAAAGTCATCCAAATTCAGTTCATCTAAAGCATTCCCTGGGGACATAAAATAAGGCCATTCCTCACTAGTCACTACGTCATGAAATTATTACCCAATTAGTTCATTCGGACCTAGTCAAAATGCATTCTTTGGATTCTCTTTGGCATTACACATTTGGCTTTTCTTCGCGAACACCGATTTAAGAAGGTATAACTCGATCTGGGCAGGCCCGCTGGTGACCGACGAGCCCTTTGCAGGATAGACACGTCTTGCCACAGTGGGTGCAGGGGGGCATTTCACAAAACTTGCCATTAGTGACAAATGACAGTTTTTGTTACAAGCTACTGAAATCCTTGCTTTTGATTGGTTATCAGCAGATTTGTCTCTGATTTTTGTAATTTTTCATTGAAAAAAGGCTTTGTGAAACAGGTCCCTTGGGTAGGTCTGAGAAGTAGGACTTAAGTAGCGACTAGGCTAGAGCCAGGGTGAGAACATGATTTTGTCATTGTTGGTTCCTTTGGGAATCCCTCGGGATATCATTTTAAATGTAATCATTGCTGCATTATCATCATTATTATACATAGGGGAAAGGAAAGAAAGACACATTTCTTGTACGTAGGCAGCCAGGACCTATTAAGGAACTTGGTAAGGAATTATGTGGACCAATTCCATCCCGGTTCAACATCACTGCACTTCCCGCAACTCTATGTGTCTCCCCAAAAACAATCACTGTCTTACTTTAACAGTTAATCTAATGAAAGTACTAGTTAGTTATCTTAGCAAAAATTAAACTATGGTAGTATGCATTAACTACAATTAAGGTTTATCAATATCATTTTAAATAAATGTTTAGAATTATTATAAACCAAATAAAAGCACAGGATATTTTCACTGTATAATTGTCTATTATTTATGAAGTCTATTTGCTACACACATGAGTCTAAGATATACCAATCTGCTAATTATTTTCAATCTGAAGTTTGTCTTTTATTTCATTGCAATCTCTAACTTTTTCAGATTATAATTTGTAAAATATACAAGATGACATTGAGAGCACTGCCTGAACTATTTTTATCAGGGAAATAATAAAAACAAAAACATTAACACATTGGTGAAGTAACATCTGCCAGTGCATAATTTCAAAATGAACTGAATAGCATTTGAAAAGCAATTTCATCACAATGAAAATCATTGAAATTCACAAAAGCAAAAATTATGATGAAGTAAAAATGATGTTCTACCCACAAGTAATAACACAACTCTAATTGAATCAATAGAATTGGTTTTACATGCATAAGTATATTGCAAACAATTTTAGCCATGACAAGACTTTTGTGCAACAGACAAAAAACTTAATGAAAACTTTTTTCAACAATAAAATTCACTATGAAAGACACATTAATACATGCTGAAACATATTTTTAAAAAGAATAAACATGAAAATGGAGAACAAATTTGACAGTATGATGTTGAAATCAAAAAAATTTGGTGAAGTTTTGTTATTTGATTCAAATCAAACACTGTATGATGTGATCTTTGATTATTCAAAACAGCTTAAACAATGACTTTTGCCATTCATGTATACTCAAAGTGCTGCTGCAGCATTTTCACAGCGATTTACCTCATCCTATTTGAACAAGGCTTATGGGTCAAAGATATAAAGCTTGTCCAACCTACCTACAACTGATTCTACCGTATCACTGGTCGGATAGAATGGTTGTGCATTAGGTGACATGGAGCTGGCAAAGAAAGAACTAGTGCTGTGGTTTATCGTCAGTGGCATCTGAGAGCAGGATGGGAAAAAGAGATTCTGTGGGGAAAAGAAAAGGTTGTATAACATTATTATCATGTGTAACACAAAACAATCAGCAACCGTGACAATAACGCCATTATCTTTATTCTACAACATTGTACAGGTGCCGCAGTAATGTAAGATACAGGAAAGAGCAGTGAATTGAGCGTGACACCCTGCATCTTTATTCCCCATCATGTAACCTCATTTTTAATTGGCGATAGGCAAATTTAAATACATTTGGATATGTTTTTATCCTCGCTGGCAAATTCAGAAACCAGGGATCCTTTATATGTTGGGGATGGATTTCATTTTACTTGCGGTCCAGTGCTTACAAATTTAGATTTCTAAACATCCCTCATGCACGCATTTAAAATGTTAATAGAGTGAAACCTACCTATAAAGACCATCCAAGGGTGACAAGAAAAGAGGTCTTTATAGGCAGGTGGTCTTTAATTACAGGTTCCTTTAGTACATGTTTCAATGAGAAACCATTTTCAAGGGAAACAAAAGATGTGGTCTTTCTATACAGGCGGTCACTAAAGCAGCTTTGACTGTACAACCTCCTCCTGGCCTTGCCATGTTGTATAGGTTTGTTCATATGACTTTTAATCTACAGGTTTGAATCATTGTCCTTGGAGTAGAAAATCCTTAGAGAAATAATCTCATCTACGTAGAGGTATTGTGGTGCAGCGGATAAGTCACCCGACTGCAGAACACAAGGTAAGGGGTTCAAGTCCTGCGGCGGCACTAATGTCCTATGGCAAGACGTCAATCTCCACCCAGGTGTTAAATGGGTACCCGGTAGGATGCGAAAGTTAATGTGGTTGAATGAGCGCTTGTAAAATGGCCCCTGGCTGGAATGCTCCCCAGGGAGTGGAGAATGTGCATACATTGTATGCAGGTAAGCCTGAATCCGATGACCTGGGTAATAATATATCTGTATATCACTTAGACCAGGGGTGATAGTGAGCACTAAAAAAATAAAAATCTTTTTTTTCCCCCTCAACCACCTTCCCTCTCCCCCTCTTAATGGAAAAAAAAGAAGAAAAAAAATCAGTCAATCATCGGGCCTGTTAGACACATCGTTGATGTATTAAGTGCTATATAAAAGCAGAATATCATTATCATTATTTCAGGATAGCCATGAGGACTTACTGAATTGTCATCCTTCTCTGCATTGTGAGACCGATGATAGCTAGAAGTCTCAGAGACCGATGAATAGCTACTTGATGCACTGTTAGACCGAGGTTTACCTATGGGTCCAAGACCACTACTACCTGGGCTGTTAAGACTAGAGGCGTCACCGCTTCCAATATGACCATGGACATTGGGTGGCACAAATGAAAAATCTAGACATAACTCCTGAGAAACAAAAAGATAGATGGAGAAATTATCAATACCTTTCCTCTAAGAACTGATACTTTGCATGAACATGTTCACTTAGTAGCATCACTTGTTACCTATAAATACAGTAAAAGCAGTACAAGAATCTTACATTATCATATGTTCCTCTTGATGCAACTTTATGACTGTACATTGAACATTTTGGTAATGGCAGTGGTCTGCAAGATGAACTTTCAAACCAGAAACAGCTCTTTATATAACAAAAATATTAGTGGCTCTAAAGTAATGTAATTACAATCAGTTATCTTAGAAACATCAACTTTTCCAAAAAAACTTAAACAGGTTATGTGTAGTATTGGAAAGTGAAGCATACTGACCTGTTGAGTATTTTTCTGTCCTGTTTATGAACTTTCCACTCTTTGTTGACATTATTGTAAGTAAATATTCATCTGTATTATGACTACCATTTTTTTTATTGCTACTCTCAGCTCTACAAGTAAACACCATCTAATGTTTTAAAGGTATTTCACAGTGTTGGTGTTGGTAGGAATGTAGGTACAATTCAACCAATTACAAATGACACTCACAAATGAACTTTAGGGAACTTGGTTAACTTTTTCTTTCATACATGTCAGTGAAAGCAGTCTTCCCTGTAAAATTACTTTATTTTAGTTAAGAAAGTATATGTTTGTGATAGTAATATGTACAGCGCCATGAGCGTCAGAGCCTGGCGGATACCGGCGCTATATAAATAACCATATTATTATTATTATTATTATAAAATACATGTAAGCCTAGACACTTTCCAAAGTCCATATAATCATTTCATCTATAAGCAAAAGAAATTGTTAAATCAGTACCATACTTAATATCACTTATATCCCACTAAATGGTAAGTGTTTATCCTGAAGACTACATTGACAGTGATTAAAACATAAACGCTGTATTTGACCAAGTGAGTCATGTTAAGCTCCGTAACTGCAAGAGTTAATGCTACATGTAAGTACATTCAATAATAAAATCAAGTCTAATTTCCTCATGTCACTATGACACATAAGTAATTTAAAGTTTGTGTGGAAGGATTTCTAAATCAATTACTGGTAGATGCCATAAATTTGAATTTCAATGTATTATAGATATTCTCACTCTACATGGGATGGGTCATCAATGTATTAGTCGTTGGCTGGCGACAAGAAGGCTGTTTTAGTTTTACTACCATTGATAAGATACAGCTGTTACCGGCCTTATTACAGTCAGGCAGCCAACAAATTGCACTTTGATTTTCATCTCCTTACCATATACCACTTCTTCACAATGACAATCACAACAATGATATATAGTACAAAGGAAAATGTATTTGCGTACATCTATGTTGCACCAGTCCTCTAAAACAAGCTGCCAAGTGACATTCAAAACATTCCATGCCTAGAAACCTTTCAGAAACATGTTTAAAAGCTTTTATTTACTCAGAGTTACTAATATTATCATGTTGTTAATTTTTGGAGAAAGTCTTGTGTATTTTGTATAGCGCCTTGATTAAGTAATTAAATAAGTGCACTTATTTTGTTATTATTACAGTCAAACCCGTCTATAGCGACCACCCAAAGGAAACACAAAAAGTGGTCTTTGTAGACAGGTTCCTTTAGTACATGTTTCAATAAGAAACAATTTTCAAGGGAAAAAAACATGTGGTCTTTATAGACAGGTGGTCTTAGTAGATAGGTGGTCACTAAAGCAGGTTTGACTGTATTATTATTATAGAATCACAATCCATGTCCAGATTAGAGATTGACTCACTGTTTGTAGTGAGGGGTTGTTGACCGGATTACTTGTTGATGATGCTGATGACACAGGTGATATTTGGGATAGACTAGACGTTTGGTCCTCGCTTAATTCACGCTGAGTGTTACTCATTTCCTCTGCAGACATGAGGAGAAGCACACAATACAAAAACAAATGTTAACCATCATGAATTCACACTCCCGGGGACTTGAATAGTGAAATGTAATAATCCTCTTCCTACTACATAAATGTGCAATGTTTTGACTTACAAAAATGTACATGTACATTTGATAGAGTACAAACTAATTACGACGCATGATATTATGATGGCTCTTGTAACATTAATATCGAAAAACATGTACATGTGGTTCATGCGGGTCAAATAATAATGTTCTCATATAGCATGCCAGAGGGGTGTTTCACAAAGATCCTAAATTGAACTTTTCTCTAAGTTGGACTTAAAAATTATGGAAAGCCGTTAGCATCTTTGAAAATATTTTGTAAAAGCTATTCTAAAAGGCATAAAATGTTTATTCAAATCATTCATATTTTCTATTATCAAGGAGATTTCATGTTCTTGATGTGGAATTTATGAAAAGTCTAAAATATGTGAATTTTTGCTTTTGAGTATATTTCATTTTAAGGCTACAAATGGCTCTCCATAATATTTAAGTCCAACTTACATGTAAAGTTAAGTTTGACTTGGGATCTTTGTGAAACACCCCCAGATTCACTTTAAATCAGAATTTCTCATGTGCAACATGACCATTTCTATATGTCTGAATATGGTTCTCAGTTAATAATTAATATTAATATGTTTGTACAAGTAACTTCTAACTACCTGCAAAACCAACAGTGTATTTCTCTCTATGTCAACAAAATGATAACCATATACACAGGCAAGTTATCTATCTTATCACAGGAAATCTATACTCAAAGCTGAAAGTGTCAGCTTTTAGATTATAATTTATTCGTCATCCTACACCTTAATGGAAGGTGAACGCTACAAGGAAATTGTTTTTTATTACAAAAATAGTTCAAACTTACGGTCTACGTGTGCAAATGCACAGAACGGGCCTCGTGGGCAGTAGCCAGTTTGCTGCATGTCGTTACATTTGGTAGATTTATAGATTTCTGGGTGGAACTGCTGATCTGTTCTTGTATGACAGTATTGACAATTATCATTCTGTTCACAGTTTGCTGGATCTCCCCATTCATCTCCTATCTTTACATTGGGACAGGGGGTAGACCTACAAACAAATCAGAACCAAGTATACAGATAAAGACACAAAGACATTGGAATAAGCGTTGGATGTATGTAGTGATCAAAGTGAAAGAGAGAGATAGAGAGAGAGAGTGAGTGAGAGAAACAGAGACAGAAACAGAGACAGAAACAGAGACAGAAACAGAGAGAGCATTTACATACAGGTATATAATAATATGAAAGGTTAGAGATAGAGAGAGAAGAGAGAGAGAGAGAGAGAGAGAGAGAGAGAGAGAGAAAGAGAGAAAGAGAAAGAGAGAAAGAGAGAGAAAGAGAAAGAGAGAAAGAGAAGAGAAAGAGAAGAGAGAAAGAGAAAGAGAGAGAGAGAGAGAGAGAGAGAGAGAGAGAGAGAGAAAGAGAGAACAATAAAAGGTTATCTAAAGTCAAAATTAAAGGGAGGAAGCTAACACTGGAAAGTTCTAAAAGAGTTGAGAAAGAGCTCCGGTAAAAAAGATTTTTGAATTTTTGAGGAAAAAAAAGTGCCACAAGGAAATATTACTTTTACTACGGCAAATAAAAAATTGCTCACATCTTTTTGATTTACAATAATAAAAAAAGTACACACTTTAATCAGAATAAAATGACAAGATGAATTTAGCTCCAATCTGTGTAACCCACTAGAACTGTAACTTGGGATCAGATTGCCATTCTATAATCCGTCATGGCACTGACATCCTTTGGCATGCCATACTCCCAATCGACACTCTCTACCTACATCTATGTGAGGTACTGGGTATCAGTCTAGTGGTAGGTAGAACTTCTTGAATGGTTTAACACCTTATCAGGGAAGCAAGGCTAAAAGAGAAGCCAGGCCCAGGGCAGCATTAACTCTTGTCTGCAGGCACACATTCTTATTTGACACTTTACCACAATACAAAAGCCTTGAGCTGAGCCTCTGTCAGTCTCTGAATGTGCAGACAGTTACGCAAAACGAAGGACAAGGGTTTTTCCCTGCACTCTACATAAACCCGCTTGTGTGAATACATACATGTAAACATGTACATGTAGATACTGTATCAACATGAAAATGTATTCTAAATGGAACAATGTACTATCGATTTAAAAGCCTCACACAAAGAGGGAATACTTTCTCACCTATATTTGAACTTGCGTGGATTTCTTCTCCTATCTCTAGCATTGTGATATCTTGGACATGCGTAACCTTGGCGACAGAGGCGGGGAGGCTTGTTGCACGGTTCTGTCTTGTAATTGGCCAATACAAAGTTGGTATCTACATGTAAATAAGCAAAAGACATGATAAAATCAGTAGTCTTCAATACATCACAATAACAAAATTAAATCAATAATACAATGTACTATGCGCCACCTGAAAGCAAACTTGAAAATAAAGGTACATGTATACGAGAGCAGATACTCACAGTAATTACAGAGTATGAATAAAATCAATATGTGGCAAAGTTCGAACACAAAAGAAATTATAGATGTCTATACAGTATATTTCAATGATGAGAATGAACATTTTTCTTGCAATTCTTGAGTTACGGAGTAGATGTAATGGTAATCCACCACCAAATTTTGTTTAGATTGTTTTTGAGCCAGCTGCATTCAAAAGTAGAAGAATCAATTATCAGCATTAGATGGCTATTTCCCCATGAATCATCAGAGCAATCGTAGATATGATTTCAAAATTCAAAGTTCTTACATAATTCTTTGTTCCATGTTCTTTAAAGATGATTAAATTGACATGAGCATGTGCAGACAATACAGTATTGCTTGAATAAAGTAGACACTCTCTAGCTGTGTCACGCATGGAATTATGACTGCTGGGGTGGGTTTCATAAAGACTAAGATTGACTTCAAGTTGTACTTAACTATGGCAAGCCGTTCATGCCACTGTTTTCTCTCGCCATTTACTGGCATTGGTCTCTCAAGGGACGTATAAATCATGGTCACATATTTACATAATTTATATTTGTTGATAGTTCATAATTGAAAGAAAAAATATTATCTAAAGATCATAATTGAGAGACCAAATGTGAGAGCAACCAGTGGCATGAATGGCCTGCCATAGTTAAGTCCAACTTAACTTAAATTCAATCTAAGTCCTTGTGAAACACCCCTGGTATTATTTCATAGAATCGATTTCCCGATGTTATGTACTCACCTTGCCATCTAGGATCATCTACATACATGGTTTTATCCTTGTCCATCGCTACAGCTGGAGGAGGAGCTACTGAAGGAGCTTGTGTCGTGATGAGATTAGCAGTAAGAGATCCTAGATCACTGGGTAACGTCGTACACTCGGGTGATAGCACTGGAGGAACACATTGTCCAGGAGGCTTGGTCTGAGCCATCTCTCGTATGTCATACACTGGCTGTCGTAGGTCATGCGGGCCATGGGCAAACGCGCAGTGAGGCCCATTCTTGACACAGTGACCTCTTGCATCCGTCTCATGAACGCAGGTTCCTGTCTTGTAGTATCTCAGGTGATATCTTCTCTCTGTATCTCCGGTGTTGCGGTGAAGGAAGGGGCACCTGTGAGCAAAGATTCAATATTATCATGGTCATCATATCTAGAGACAAAAGAAGATTATAAAATAAGCCTTTTTTCCTATTTTCATGTACAAGACATAATCAATGATTAAAACACTACTCATATTACATTTAAAGTTTACTGAGCTGAGAATTTCCCAAGAATTCTGGTGAAATTAATCAAATTATAGAACAGATATACAGTACATGTACACAGACCGTTTATGCCTACATACTAAAGGTGTCCTGCTGAAAAACAATGTACAGTTTTGGCAAGAACTTTTTAAAAATATCATCCTTATCTTCTCTTTTAGATGAAGTTAAAACTAGAGTATTGTGCAAATCTGCTGTGAAGAAAATGAAGGAATAACATTATAGTATTAATGACTGCTTTGAGAGAAATAGTTGTTTTATTACGCTCAAGGGAAGGTTAGAATTGTGCTATTCCCCGAGGCTTGCCGAGGGGAATAGCCCAATTGTAACCTTCCTGAGAGCGTATGAAAACAACTATTTCTCGAATATTAAAGCAGTCATTAATACTTTTATATGCCGAAAAAAAATAGACTAAAAAATGAAAAATGAAAAATATTTATCATTTATGTCGAAGACGGGATTCGAACTCTTGCGTACAACAAGAGGTGTACCGAAAACCAACGCTTAGACCACTCGGCTATGGCCCGCCGTTAACGTGCTTGGCAGTTTTCTCCAATATATACATTAAAATGGATTGAAACCGGCTTCGCGTGTGATGAATGCTTCGCAAAATCTCCATATACGGACTCTTCTTTTACTTTTGCAATGCATATTGGCACGAACTTAGATCAAGATCTATCGGCAGATGTTGTTTTTTTGTTTTTGGAAGTTTATTTTCGTCTTCATGTCAACAATGCAAGATAAAATTGTCGGTAAGATCGATCGAGATTCAATTGTATTGAAATTACCGACCAATCCTTCGCACACATACGGCATCCTCCATCGCTCAAACCATTTTTTAACATGTAAACCTATGGGGTAACCATGGAGGCTGACCAACTTTTTTTAATAACCATGGTTATTAAAAATATTGAAATGTTTTATGCATGGTTACCGAGAATTTTACAGGAACAGTTGAAGTTTATGAATGCAATTCGACCAATCAGATGGCTGGATTTCTTAAGTGAGGTATATAAAGATGTCTCATGCACAGAACCCAAGTCAAACTTGGGTTTTATTATACAGCTGTATAGGCTCTATTCTATGCGAATAGGTGCAGGTGCGTCGACCGGTATTCACAAGTTTCTTTTATGTTAATTAAGAATGTACATTATAATGTAAACTGAAAATATTTCAATATAGAATTAACATTTGAAGCTCCTATTTTTAATACACTGTGCATGTATACATGTATATGTACAGTATTCAGCTGCTTTTTAGCATCATGGAACCCTTAACATACAGAGAAAAATAGTTTTTGGTGATAGGTAAACTTTAGATGACAGCACATTAGTTCCAAAAATAACACAATCAAGAGAGTAGACCCTGATCAGGGATCTAGTGAATCTACATCCACAGTACATAGTATTTTTCAAAATTTAAATCCTTTATTACTCAATTGGAAATAAAAGTGTAGATAACTTAATGTTCTTGGGGCAATTATCTCAATATCTTACTTGAACCGTGCTGTTGTTACTGTGCTGCTGTTACTGTACATGGTAAAACATTGCTACTTGATAATACTACATTACAATAGCCTAGAAGAATACAGATGTGTATCTAGTCACAGAGTGTTATTCATTAGATTCAGAGGGCTCTGCAGAACCATGGCATACACCACGGAAGGCAGAGATAAACAATATGCCTCCTTGATAACATAAACAACTATGTACAGTACATGTATGTGCACTGTGTAGATTACTTTCATTATTTCAAATGAAAAGTGAATCTGCCTATGACAATGAGAGTGCAACTGTAAGTTGGACCATGTGATAACATTTGAAATTCTCTCATACATGTACATGTAGCTCTTACACGTACTACAAGGTTATCGATCTCACGGAGTGCTACAACAAAGTAGTATTGGAAATTGGGTACCGATATTATAATAATAGTTTTCTTTGTGAAATACTCATTTCTTATGTTTTATTGGTATTGTTACATGTAGTATGACAATATTTGAAGATCATGTCAAAATACATACATCACATGTAGAAAAGAAATCAAAAGTGAAAAATTGCTACATTAACACACTGTAGAAGTACATGTACATGTACCAAGTGCAGGACTTAATGACATGGGGGGGGGGGGGGGTATCTAGTATTTACAATACAGTAGTTAAACATGTTATGTTCTTACATTTATCTGGAGATTCTGTAATAATATTTAAATAACAAATAGAAATGTCACAGATTCAAACCAAACATTTTGTACGCTGAATCTTCAATATTGTAAATAAACAGTATCCATCAAATACATGGGTAGAAAAATATACTGTATATTTACATGTACATCAAAGAAATGAACAGCAACAAAAAGTAACTTTTAGCTACATGTAGATGTTCTGAAAGTGCATCATGCAATATTGTTCAGTGAATGTGATTCCCAAAAAGGTTGTATACTGATCCAAACAAGACATCTATTGTATCAGTCTGCATAAGAAATAATTCAGAATTATCACATGTAGATCTGTTATTAAGTTCTCTAAAATGCAGTTCTATTACTAGAAGTAGAACTCAATAATCAGCTTTAAAATTTAAATGCACATTTTCTTGTACATGTGAGCTCACAAATAAAATAAAATTCACAGTACTGTACTCTGTACATTGACAAGTGAAAACTGACAACTTCTACATGTACCATTTTCATGATGAAGCATTTTGTAACTGTATGAATGTACATTTACTGCACCCAGGATCTGAACAGGCCTTAAATTTCATTGCCACTTTTCTGTAGGGCACATTCCTATATTACAGCACAAATAGGAAGAATTGGAAAGGGCACAAAAAATCTCCAAGGCCAATGAGAAGGGCATTGAGAGCAATCAATTTAATTTAAGCCTTGTCTGAATTGTAAATACTTGGACTCCATTCACTAGAGTTGCATTGGATATTATTAAATACTAATGATGACATTTTTATTTGGATCAATCAAAACAAGGAGGGGGGGGGGGGGGGCATTTATGACATCTTTCAATGAAAATCAAAGAGGAAGTTTTAACCCAAGTAAAATAAGTAACTTGTGATATGTAATTATTAATGTCAAATTATCAATTACAGGTTTTACTTTTTTACAAATATTCAAGCAAGTATTGGAAAGAGAAATTTTGAATGATACAGAAACATTTATTCATTTCAAATTTATCTACTTTATATTTTCCAAACTAATCATAAAACAAGGCAAATCCAAACTGCATTACTTTATAGATCTGTATGTATAATCTATGCCAACAATTATACTTATTTTTCACAATCACACCAGGAGTGTCAATTTTGACTAACATGGCGCATCACAAATGTTCACTACTAATAGTACCGGTAGTTCATTTTGATTTATAACTGTGCATTAATAGAAACAATGCAAACATTACTTTAATTTGTTTGGAGGTGTTAAATCTTACTGTTTATTTGGATATATATTTCCATTATCTAACTTAGTCACTGTGGTGTGTTGTAAAAGTAAATGTTAGATGACTTTCACTTGGTTACATGTGGTGAACTGGGGATGAGGGACAAACTTACTTACACTTGCTACTTTCCTTAGTAACATTAGGCATATTTACATTTGTGTAGACAGAACCTGCTGCAAACCACAAATATAACCATACTTTATGTGTAATGCTAAGTTAAAACCGATCCCTACAATACATGTACATGTCTCAACTTCTCAAGTTCTCAACATCAATTTCCCAATTCATCACCATTAAAATTTTACTTAAATTCATTCTCACAGGAATAATGAATCTGCAAAATCTTGACATTGAGCTAAGATTGATACACAGAAAACTGCAACTTCATTGGAGCATACATGTACATGTACATGTACGATGTGCACAAAAATATGAAATTGCATTTATAAATTTCTGTTAACATTGTCCCTTCACAATTAATTTGCACTCAAATAAAACAGAATCCCTTATCAACCTCATCAACTAGAAATAAATTTCACAACGACCCCATTCCATATATTTAAAGATACTTTTTTATTCCACGATAGTTTGTCTTTGATAGCTTTCTGTGCCCAGGTAAATTTCATTAAAGCTAATGATACATTTTGCATAAAACAACCTTTTAAAATGTAAAGTAGACTAATTATGACTAACAATTATCATGTAACGTGTAAACCCTACAATTATAAATGTTTTAATTGCACAAAGCCAAAGCTTCAGTAAAATGACTAGACTAGACCTCTAGATTCTAGTCGTACATTGTATTTGTAGTAAATCAGTAGACCCTAATCCAAATAAAAAATCAAATTCACATGATGTACGAGATTTTGATTAATAATATAATCTGCAGCTGAGAAATAAGACAAGATCAATTCTTCTGAACAATAACATTCTTGCAATTGTCTTTTTTTAATATAAAGCCTGACAGTGAAACTAGCTCCAAAACATGTCAATTGTCATTACATCATGATCTATATTTTTACTTGTGTTGACTGTTGTCTTCATATCATTCAATTAACGTTACATTCAATGTTCACAACCACAATATCTTCAAATAGCCTGTATTTTTGAGAAAATGCTGATGATCAACCGATTAACCCCAACTCCTAAACAAATATGTGGGCCGACCTGATCCATTCGCTTACCTGGAAGATAACACGCCGTGCCCAACCCATACTGACTCTGACTGCAGTGCCATTGCTCCAAACAAAAACAAGGCACGCATAAAACGTGCGGAGCGCGCCCAAATATGAATCCACTACACGACATTTCGCAATAGCACATTGCCATTGTTTAGTTGTAACTACATCGACACTGCGGCCCATTTTGCCGTTTTAAACCTGTAACACATCATCTAGACAGTAACAAAAGAGTCTGGAATAAATTTGACATAAGTTGGTGTTTAATACATCTGTGAATTCTTCTTGTCATTTTGCCTACTTGAGTGCAAATATCTGTCAAAATATGTCAACAAGTTATCTGCGTATCGGCAATAACAAACATGGCGTCAATAACGCACGCTACAGCTGCCGACTGGTTTTCATTACGACTCGCCCACTCTTGACAAAAACAATGGCAATACTCACTCATCTCTGTCTTCACAAAGGCCTGAAGTTTCATCGTACTTGGAGCAATATATATCCGGGCTATAATTAAAAGTTCCATCACGTTTACGAATCGGTCTTCGCCTTCGTTGATTCAGAAAATGCCAATGAAAACAGGTAAACGGCCGATGATTTGGGCACTTGTGCTGCAAGAAATCCTGGCATTGTTGTGTACGAAACTCCTTCAAGTAACTGAAAAGGAAAGCAAAAAACATGGTTAAATCATCACGGAAATTTCTTGAAACAATCACAGAATGAAACAGAAAATAGTATAAATATGATTCTTCTACTTACGTGTAGTGGAAAGGTTTTTCTGGTTGAGAAGAAACGACTTGATTAGCCGAAGCCTTCTGCTGCTCGGACGGCATTTTGAAGTTCAGCTGTTGTTGTACGGACGTACGAACGTGCACGTAAGGCCGTAAGCCCGCGCGAATAGCTCTTCTTTGCAAAGCCAATCAGCTCTGCTCTGACGTCAAGATCTCGGCCCGTGAATGAAGTCACATGACCCGGGCTTCCCCCTGACGTCACATATTTTGGCAAAACAGCTGAGCGCTACACACGTGCATTTGTTTACCAAAACAAACTAAAATCTTGTAATAGCAATTAATTAATAAACTAATAACTTCTCAGAAAACATGAACTGGAGAATTTATAACAGATAGGACAGATAGTTTAATTCATATTATTATGCTGTATACACATTAGCCGTCCCTTGACATTTTAGGAAAGGGTAGGCCTATATAGTATAATTATACGGGTGTCCACTTTTAGACCCGAACTCTTCCGTGGCGCTAAAACCAAAGTACATGCATAGATTATATGTCTTTCACTGTTTTCAATAATCTAGAAAAATATGATTTAAAAAAACGTTCTATTGTGTAAATATTAAAAATTGTAAACTTTTAAAGTATTTATTTATTGCAGATATATTAATTCATGATTCTTTCATACATCACATTACATCAACATGATATTGTCAGCGGAGACCATTTCCAAGGGAAGTTGTGTATTGGGAAAATTTGCTAACATTTTTCCAACAAGCACAAAATATGGAAACGTTGCCAACACTTTAAGATTTGCCACCTATATGTATAAACAAAAAGAACAAGTGTTCTTAGATTAGGCACGTATTCACCTTGTTGTGGTAAATAAAAAGACTAAGACTTGGAGACTTGTTTCACTTTCCCATTACTTTAGGCCAATTACTTTAATCAAATAGATAATATTAATAATACATTTATAGAGCGCAGAAATTATCCAACATTAAGTATATATTCTTCTGCGCTACAAAAGCTCCTGATATGCTTAGATTTACATTTAATTGAAAATATAAACCTGACTGGTATTGGCTGGTCTCGAACCAAAATAATTTGAGTGATAAGTTGGAATTCAATATCTTCCATATTGCACTCAGATTACACGAATTAATGATGTGCATCACATTTAATAAAAGACCTCAATTGAATAACGATTAAATAATTTAATCAAAATAGATAATCATAATAATACATTTATAGAGCGCGGAAACTTTCCAACATTAAGTATATATTCTACTGCGCTATAAGAGCTCCTTATATGCTTAGATTTACATTTAATTGAAAAGATGTGTTTTCAGTTTTGATTTAAAGATATTGACAGAATGGTGATTTCCTGACTTCAAATGGCAATTTATTTCACAGTTTTGGTGCTGCACAAGCAAATGCTCGATTAGCGTTATTTTTGTTTTAAATAGATGGGATCAACAGTTCAGATGAGCCTGACTGGTATTGGCTGGTCTCGAACCAAAATAATTTGAGTGATAAGTTGGAATTCAATATCTTTCCTATTGCACTCAGATTACACGAATTAATTTTAAAAAAACCTCAATAGGCCATTTTCGTAATGTAACCAAATTTAATGCACAAGTCTTTGTGTAGTGCCTCAATACAAATTATTTCATTCACCTGGTAAGAATAATAGTATTTCAATAGACATAATCGAAACTGCATACATTAGTTGTTGCCAGGTTGGACAAACATTATGGCTTGACCTACCTAGCAACACTTGATATAAGCAGTTTGCATTCTGACTATTGAATTACTATTATTCTTATCAGGTTAATGAAATAATTTGTATTGAGGCACTACACAAAGACTTGTGCATTAAATTTGGTTACATTACGAAAATGGTCTATTGAATAACGATTAAGCAACATAACGGCGCAAAATGTCTATCATGGCGGAAATTGGAGCTAACTTTGATAGCAGTAAATACTTTATACCGGGCTTTTAGATCTTTCAAAACTGTCGCTGCGTGGGATACCAACGAAGTCATTGGATGCTCTGTCATAAATCGTAAATTGTCATGGTTCATTATGCGTTTGCCTATAGATCTATAAGTCTGGAGCGCTATATAATTTTGTTCATGCCAATGGACACACCTAAATAAACTTGACTTGTTGGGGATTCAGTTGATGACCTTTTAAAGAGATGTAATCAAATAGATTAGTTCCGAAATGTCTTCACATTATGCATACCTCTGCAGTGGTTGCATAATGAACCAAATACTTACTTACTCCCGACAAATCAACAAGTTAGTAATGTATGCAAATTGCATTCCAACAACTGCAATACAATACAAATGATTCGAATAGTTGAGGAACATTAGCGTGTAACAGGGAACTAAATATGTTTTTTTTTAACTGTTGATAACATTCCTTTCATGTTCTCGAATACAGTGAACTGGTCAGTTGCATTTCAACAAGAACTTTTCGCAGCACCGCTTTGGCAGCATCAGCGTTTTGATTAGGTTCGCTCCGATGTGAAGTGAATAATTAGTTGTCCTCGAGAGAGTACTTGGATAGGGGATACTTTCATCATCATCTTCTTTCAATTAATGATCTCAAATTCACTGTTGCATTGTGTTGCCATTATCTGAGAGCTAAGGACATAAATCAAGTCAGGATGCCAGTAAGTCGTCCGGCAAGTCGTCGAAGTTCGGTTCGTGGATTCTATGATCGCTTTGATACTCGACGAGAACGCAGATATCAACGCTTTGGTGTGGGATTTGGGCGTGGCACTTTCGACAATTTCACTGGGATAGACGGAGCTATGGTGCTGGAGGAAGATAACCCCATCGGAAATGGAGCGACATATTACGATACTGAAGGAGCGGCGACGGCAACTGCCGTCTCCCCGACACCAGACCCCATGTCGACCCATGATGATGGCTCAGAGGTGTCTGCAGTGTGCGGATATGAGGCTCAGTTCGAGACTCCACTGGATAAGAAGTATGTATGTCCGGTCTGTCTGTCAGCTCTTCGTGATCCGTTACAGACTAAATGTGGGCACAGATTCTGCAAAGTATGCTTGACGCTAGCAAGTGGGTAAGATATATCTCAAATATATAGTCCTTGTCATCGTTTTATTTCATGAATTTTAGGGCTTACAAATTCTTTTCAGGCATGCAGTTCTTTGTAGGACAGCGAAGATTAAATAGTCGTGATGAAATTAAAAATATACGCTCAAATATAACATGATGATGTCTTATTTAAGTTCCACACATCACACATATTGCAGACAATATTTTCTATCACTTTGTGGATCAGAGATTCTGGAGAATATGGTATAAAATTAATGTTCTTATCGCGAGGAATTTTAATTGTTAACAATACATTGAATGTTGTGTCTTTGCATTTCTATGAACTTGGCTTCATTTAATATATGATATGTAATTTATGAAATTCCTCTAAACGAATTGAATATCAAAGTTGATTTATCCATTGAAAAAAAATCAAAAAGTAGGATCAAATGTGGTGTTTAATGATTATTTCAATCTGTGTTCTTCTTTAAACTATTTCAGCCCGGGAAACGTTGCTAAATGTCCTCTGGATAAACTCTTCTTTGATGTCCGCAGTGAAGTAAGTTTTTTTATCATCTCTCTCTCTCTCTCTCTCTCTCTCTCTCTCTCTCCCTCCCTCTCCCCCCTTTCTTTTAAAGCTTCACGACCTCTCATACACTCTCATATATCTCTCTCCTGCTCTCTTTCCTTCCCTCACACGAATTCTCTGTATCTATGTACCTCCCTTTCAACGGTCTCACACAAACTCCCATTATCTAACATTCACTTCGTCATTATTCGTTTATTATCAATGATGATGCGTGTTGGATATTGAGGTTGGCTTACTTTAAATCATCCACCCCACCCCGGGCTATCACGCTTTCAATCAAACGCTCATCGTGGTGGCTCTTCTCCTTCTTCTTCTTCTCCAAAATTATTTCATTGATTAATTTTTGATAGTGTGTTATCAGTTACATTTTGTTTTAACGTCAACATTTTTATTATGATATTGTGTATACGTTTTTTTTAATGGTTATATTTGATATATGTTGAATCTTTGAGATGTAATTTGATTTGCAGGTTTCGCAAAAGAAAATAAATCCCAATTAATTAAAAATATATATATCATAATAAACTTGAATGACACTTGTATTCTTCTCCTTTTGTTTGACGTTTTGCAGCTAGCTTAAGTGATAAATCAAATCATATTGTGTTTGAAGCGCAATGATTATTCAGGAACTCACTCTGAAATCATATGTATAATATCTAAATCAGAACAAAGGTAGATTTGATAATATCTTAATTGTATACTACAGTGTATATAGCAAGACGAGATTCTTTTTAATCGTGATGTTTCATGTAAAAAGTATACACATAGAACTTTGCTTTTTATCGATATTGTCATCATGTACAAGTATTTATGAATCGAGTCTTCAATTTCAGTATGTCTTTGCTATTCAGGTGTTTGAAGACGTTGCCATGAAGAGAGAAGTATTATCATTATTAGTCCTCTGCACCAATTTGGACTGTGAATGGAAGGGAGAGCTTCGGTTATTAGAGGTGGGTTGTATTCAAAATGATGAAAAATGTATTTTATTATTAATGCATTCAAAATAATGATTTTTTTTTTTTTTTTTTTTTTTTGGGGGGGGGGGGGTCTTTCTGTGTTCCTTTTTTTATATTTCATTAATTATTCCAGCCTAGAAACTTAGTATCCTTTGTTGACAATAAAGACAATATCGAATAAGGCAGTAAAAATGTAGTAAAAATCATTGTGACTCTTGCCCTTGGGTTATGGGGGAGCTCGGAGAACACTGGCATTCAAGTTCACTGACAAGCCAATAAAACTGATCAAAATCATGGACCGACCGGGACACTTGTATTTGCGGCATGCAGTATGATGATTGTAACTTTTTTTTCTTTTTCAAATTTGTCGGGTGTATTGGATTTAAATGGGTTGATTTAACTGCGTTAAATGTGTTCTTTGAATGTTCTTTGTTTTAGGAGCACACCGATGATTGTCCCCATTTGCTGATACTGTGTTCTAACGGATGCCTCACACATCACAAGAGAATGGATGCAGATGAGCACCATAATAACTGCCCTGCAAGGCTGTTAGAATGTACATTCTGTCAGCAAAGCGTAGCATATAAATCTCTCAATGTAAGCCAAATTTGTTAATGCTTTAAATTTGCACAATAAAAATGATATAGACAGAGTCATAATAATTTAGTTATAGAGGTGTTTTGGTATAGTGGACGAGTCTCCGGACTGTGAACCACAAGGTTCGTGGTTCGAATCCCCGACGCATCATGTCCTTTGGCAAGACATTAATCTACATTTGATACACTAGAGCCAGGTGTGAGGTAAATGTGTATCTGGCAGGAATTAATTCCTCAAAATGCCCAAGCACTGCAATCGTGGTCAGGGCGTCCGTGCTAAAGCGGGGTAATAATATACTTCCAGAAGTGGCTATAATGTGCCAGACATGAGCGCTATACAATATTCTACATTACTACTACTATTATTATTATTGTCGTATTTAATCCCCCCCCCCCCCATTCAGTGTTATTTAGGGTACGCATATGCGTGTTTCAAGCGACCCCCCCCCCCCCCCCCCGGGGTGTAAAATCAATACGGGTCGACCTTTTTCTTTTGTTATACGAGCCTTTTTCAGCACCCCCCCCCCCTTTCAGCAAAAATCCGGTGTGTAAAGTCATTACGGGTCGACCTTTTTCTTTTGTTATACGAGCCGTTTTTCAGCACCCCCCCCCCCCCCCCCTTTTCAGCAAAGTCCGGTGTGTAAAGTCAATACGGGTCGACCTTTTTCTTTTGTTACGAAAGGACATTTTGGTAACACGCATGGGGTCCGTCCGTTCTCGGAGTGGGGGGGGGGGGGGGCGGGATTTAATGCCGTGTTACTGCTTTCTGAAATTATATTATATTATATTTATATTCAGTATAGGTAACTAGATTAGTATTGATAGTCCCCCCTGCATTGTACATGTATTCACCTTCCCTATTTCTATTTCTATTCTATTCTATTTTATTATTAATCTACTCTTTTAAAATCTTTTTGTTCTTGTGAAGGTGATCTGTGTTTAACAAGCTGTGCTTTTTTACAGACCACCTCTTGTCCACATTTTCATTGTCTTTATAACTTTTTTGTTATTGTTCATGAACTTATTCTTGATGAAGATGAACTTGTTGTTACTGTTCATGAATGTATTATTTTCATGTCAGTGGAAAGAATTTAATAAATCTTGAATCTTGAATCATGTTGCGTATGACACTGTTTATATTGCCTCTTGACTTTCTTTCAGCAACATCAACTCCTTCTGTGTCCCAGGTATGCTATAGACGGCCCTCTGTGTGGGAAGGTCGGCATAATACGAGAGGACGTGAGTACCTTGCATTCTTGAACCATTGCCAAATCTATTTTCCCAGAGAGCCAATCAAAATAAAAGTGCCACCACCATTTATTTAAAATGTTTTTTCTCTCCTCTTTGAGGGCGTCGATTTAGAAAGGGCGGGGGGATGATTGCCCCCTAAAAAATAAAGTATATATATATATATATATATATATATATATATATATTGCATCATGTGGCTCTTTCAATTCAGACAGAGAACTTGTCCATAAAAATATCAAACTTGCCAGTATTTACGTGAATTATGTGTAATAATCAGATTAATTTGTTGGTAGTTATGTTTTAATCATCGTAATAGCTTGCAACACAATTGCTTCCTTACTCGCCACCTATTATAGAGGGATAGGTCTTAAAAAATAGTTACTCCCACCCCCCTCTCTATTTTGCTTCTTTTACACATTTGATAATAGGGCATAATGTTGATGAGTTGAGTTTATTGAGAAAAAAAATTAAATCGTGATATATTTTAGAATGCTCCTTTTCTGTCCACTTTGCAATGAAAATGCAGTCTCCCCCCTCCTATAGAGAGCATAACAAAACAATGACTCCAAATATGCCAAAAACTTGATTCCAACGACTTCTGCCTGCTCATTTTGGCTGAATGTCAAAAATGAAGGTCATGACATTTCTGGGCCTCTGACCTTTGCCGTACCATTGCGTTTTACAGATGCCCAAGCACACGGATCATAAAGATGGAGACTGTCCTAAGTCCATGGTTCCATGCAAGTTTGGCGCTATGGGATGCCATGTTCAGGTACAAAATTAATAGATCTTTTTCATCCCAAATTTTTTGTTTTTTGTTGTATATTTTATTAAAGCAAAACATGAGAATCACATATTTAAAAGATTCGATAAAATTAAGAAGAACAACAAAAAAATCAATTTAATATCCCCCTCTCTCACTCTCTGTTTCTCTCTATCTCTCTCTCTCTCTCTCTCTCTCTCTCGCTCGCTCTCTTTGGCTCTCTCTCTCTCTCACTCTGTATCTCTGTCTCTATGTCTCTCTTTGTATATCTCTCTCTCTTTCTGTCGCTTTTAATCTGTAATATCTGTATCGTGTTCCGGCTTGTCTATATCTATCGCGTTCATTCCTCTCCATTCAATGGTTTATGAATGCTATTGTATTTAATCAAATTACACTTTCATGATTGAATAAAGTTTTCTTGTACAGCTCCGATCATATCTTTATATCCCTCTTGAGGACCAAGACCAAGAACAGAATCTGTATGATTACGAAATATTGACATATAAGTAAACATGCAAACACAAAAATGTTGTAAGCCTACAAGTGACAAGTAATAACGCAATTCTGTATTGGTTGTATCGAAATAACATACTGCATTTTAAAATCTGTTCTCTTGCAAGGCTTTGATTATTGTATGATCATATTCTTATTTATCGATACATACAATTGCTATCATTTGCAAGCAAATTAGTTCAGTCCTTTGCACGTGGAAGGCTCAGACATTGTGGGAAAGGCGTTAATGGATTACGCGGGAATGATTGACATATTTTCTAATTGTGTCACACAGACGTATGCTTCTGAATGTTTAACAGTTCAAGGACCTTTTGTTATCAAAACGTTACGTTTGAAAAAAAAAATACACAAACCTGAAATTTCAATAAATCAGAATGCGATGAATTCCTTTGACCTAAATTGTCGCGGCGCTCAATAAGGGAGTTTACAGATAGATAGCACATGGTACAAATGACCCCAAATATACAAAGATCTTTTACACATGTAGAAGTTCCACTTTGAGCATCTTAGAATAATAACTGCCAAAGTTCTAGATGTGCTTCATGAATACTTTTTGTTTGACCTCTTGAAAAGAATACTTCCACATGCGTATCATAGAATGTACCTTTGGTACATAAATGAATAATGTTACATAACTTTCAAGAGCGCATATCCAGTATTCATCTATGTGGGTTTTACCATTTTGGTACAAATGACCTTTATCTGCCCATGCGCAGATTGTATCTGTAAACTCCCTTATACTTCACCAACTCTACATCTATCTCGGCATATATTTGGCATTTACAATCAGTATTCCACAAAACGTGGCACCTCTCACTTTACCAACACCATTTACCACAACACTTTGTATCCCAATTGGCTCTCTACTCGGCACCCTACTCGGCGTCTTACTTGGCAACCCTCTAGCCACCCCTCTCAATAACCCAATAGGAACCCCTTCGACACTCATGTTGGCAACATGGCACTCCACCCGGCACCCCTCCCGGCCCCCCTCCCGGCACCCCTCCCGGCACCCTTCCCGGCACCCCTCCCGGCACCCCTCCCGGCACCCCTCCCGAACCCCTCCCGGCACCCCTCTCGGCACCCCTCCCGGAACCCTTCCGGCACCCCTCTTGGTACCCCTCTCGACTTCCCAGTTGCCAGCCCACTCAGCATCTCTCTGGGTCTTATTGTCAGCATACCAATGGCTCAGGCAATGCCCACCTCATTCGGACCATCAATCAGCACCCAATTGACATCTCCCTTGGCAACCTAATTGGTAAATCTACCTGCACCTCTCACAACACCCAACTGTGCATCCAACTCGGCATCTAACTCGTCACCCAACTCGACACCCAACTCGACACCCAACTCGACACCCAACTCGACACCCAACTCGACACCCAACTCGACACCCAACTCGACACCCATCTCGACACCCAACTCGGCACCCAACTCGGCATCTAACTCGTCACCTAACTTAACACCACAATCGGAAATACGATAGGTATACAACCCACACAATTTGACCATTAATCAAAAAAATCACTCGACAATTAAGCGAACCAATGAGCAGAGTGCGATTTGGAACTAAACTGATTAAAACCTTTCTGTATTACAGGTAAGACGATGTGATCTTCAACTCCATAGCCAGGAATCACAAGGTCTCCACCTAGATCTCGTGTTAGTTCACTACACCACACAGACCGAGCATGTCCAGGAACAGGCATGCACTATACACGAGCTGCAGGAGACCTGCTCCAGACTGGTCGGACAGAATGCAGATGCTGACAGGTTCGTAATCTCTATTTATACCACCTTCCTGACAACCACATGTCATTTTGGTGAGCTATAGTAGAAGCCAAAAGTCGATATTTTTGTTGTTGTATGAACTTCTATGCAATGTTGTACTAAAAGATACCTTCTCTCGTATACTTTAACATGTTCGCTGGTACTTCTGAAACGTCATAAATATGTCGTTTTCGGTAACTTATTTGTAAAATTAATTGTTTTTGGAAGAGATTGATATAATGGTTTACATATTACACAAAGTTTTGCGCGATTTCCTTTGTAATGATGACGATTGAAGGATTTGGGGAAGGGGTATGGTTGCGGCGTTCAATGCTCTATGTTGGGCGAAATCGGGGCATTGTATATTTCATGCCTTTGGATAATTCGTTGAAAATAATTGTCCGACATAATTTATTTTAAAATTTGACGGTGAAAATGAATCCGCTAAGTATATTTTACTGTGATAAGAATATAGGTGATGTATTATTGATGCTGTTTCTCTACAGGAAAATAAGAGAGCTCTCTGGAGATGTCAGCAGTTTAAGAAACGAACTTTCACTGGCAACGAACACCAATTACACAGGCCACCTTCAATGGAAGGTCCAGATATCTTCCCGTGACTTCACTGCACCTGTCCTGAGCCCACCCTTCTACACCTCTCCAGTTGGTTACAAGCTCCGCCTCTGCCTTGAATTGAGAGGTCACGTGACGCGTTCAGACTCCTATACTTCCATCTTTATCATGCTGTGCAAAGGGGAGCACGACAGGAACCTGTATTTCCCATTCAGTGCTGTCTGTAGCCTGACTCTGTTCGACCAATCGGACTGCGAAAATCACCTGAATACCACCATCACCTGTCAGAAGATGCCACGCCCTCATGAGGTATCGAGCACCATGCAACGTCGTGGAAGGCTACAGTTCATGAAGACGGATACTCTGATCAATGGTCGATTCTGCAAGACTGGGACACTCTTCTTCCAGGCTCGTGTGAACACCCTCCCTACAGCCCATACCACATAGCAAATTAAAGATCAGCCAAGCTGTTTGGTACATGTCGGTGTCTTCCAGGCTCGTGTGAACACCCTCCTATATCATATACCACATAGCAAACCAAAGATTAGCCCAGCTGTTTGGTACATGTCAGTGGCATCTCGGATGGTTGACGCGTTGGCATGTAAAGATTTGATTCTGAATGTTGAATCCGAGAACTGTAGTCATTAAGGTCTTTTCAAATCATATCTAATAATGTGTCTCGATTTTTACAATGTCAATAAATATGAGAAAAGGGTTTATTCTTATAAAAGTCACATAAATGTTTTTATATATAGTTGCTTATACATGTATCTATGTTTATTAAATGTAAACGTGTCTTTAGGTTTAAAAAAATAGTATTTATTAATGTTTGTATGAAGGTCTTGTTACTTTATGTTTCTTTCATGTTAAAATACACTGAGGTTCTGATACGGGTCGGGAAAGGATTATTGATTACTAAGAAACTTGTATTCAGTTATCAACGTCATAATATCTTTCAAAAAACATATCGCCTCTCTAAAACTTATATTGTGTATTCTGTAGAAAACATATTATATATTCCCCGTTTGAGTACAACTCAATAGTATGCCATGCATTTAATCAACATGTTTAAGACCCTTAAATACCGCATTAAAATTGACACTCTTCTGCACCATAGATGTACAAGCCAAATGCATTTTAGCTCCTGTTCGATGATACATCTACTACAAACTCAAGTGCAATATTGATGTTGTATTTTATGCAAATGTAATAGTCGAGAGTGGTACCGAAGTATTACAAAATCTTATACTTTATTAAGAACAACTTGCCAGCCAATTATAATTCGAAGGGAACAGATCAATGCAACCATTCAAGCTATGGCTCCCTTGAAAATCCTTCATTGATGATTGGTCCATCATGTCAGCCCTGCTGCCCCTGTCCTCATACAACCTGCAGGGTGAAAGGGCGCCACCTATGTTGTGTTTTGATTCCACCTGTCTTGTACATATGAGCTCGGAGACTCCAGTTGTCACAGATTTATCAGAGATTGGTATCTTCGTAACTCTCATCTTAATTCAATTTGATATTCATATATAAATATATATAAATACAATATATTTGGTTGGTATCCTCCATCTAAAATCCATTCATATATATGTGCAATATATATTAAGGAACTGAAAGTTCACTACCATCAAAAATACAATTTACCAATCAAATTTCTCTATCTGTTGTATACTGTGCTGAATATCCAAGCTGAGGCTTTTCCCCGAGTAAAAAATTATCTTCAAACTATTCATCGGTGGTTAGGTTAATTCATCTCGTCAATTCAACTTTATAGCATTGTCAGGCCTTGTCCGATCGATATCCAATCCCTGAGAATGTAACAGATGAATAAAATACAAGACTTGATCCAAATACGCCGGCGGCATAGTCCACGAAATAAAATTTGACGATATTGTTTGCTGCCTCTTTCGAATAATGATGAAAATATCTGCCTCATTTATGTAAATGATACTCGTGTATGACTGTATGTGTTATTCTGTTTTTATATTGTATTAATTAAAAGATGAACATGAAGAATTTAAATTTTACAGAATGTTAACGAGTTTTATTTCATTCAGTGAGATACTAGAGCGGTTCGGGGGCTCAAGCTCCCCCCCCCCCCCAAGAAAAAAACACCAACACTGTCCTTCTATAACCGCTTCTGATTTCATGGTCAGATTTGATTAGGCCTAGTACATGTATTACTCAAAAACTTGCAAACGATATTTAAAATATCAAAGGTGAAACTAGCCCTTTTCTTTGCCAAATGTGTACGACTGTAACGGGCTAATTTCACAATGTAACCAAATTTAATGCATAGGTCTTTGTAGAGTGCCTCGGTACAAATTATTACATTCACCTGTTAAGAATAAATGTATTTCAAAAGTCAGATTCCAGACTGCATAATGTTGTTAGGTAGGGCAAGCCATAATGTTTGTCGTTCCTAGCAACACGTACGGTATGCACTTCGCATTCTGAATATTGAGATTATTTGTAACAGGTGAATAAAATGATTTGTATGGAGGCACTTCACAAAAACGTGCTTTAAATTTGGTTACATTACGAAAATAGCATATATTTATTTTACGTTGCATACTTGCATGCCGAGCTCTGGATGGGGTCGGGCTCATTGATATATCATGACACACATTTATTTATTTATTGTATTTATTCAGTCTTCTTTAAAGAGAAGGTTCATTGATTTAAAAAAACTAACTTTAATGTCATTATTGCAAAGTTGACACTTTGATTGGCCAAGGTTATCAAAAGCCAATGCTTGGAGACATTCGAAGTAATGATTATTAACAATTACAAAACGCTCAGATACAGCCCCGACATAGCACCTGAAAAGCTCTCCGGTCGCTGCTGAGATATGACGTCACATGTTGAACATGATGTGCACAAGCAGACGATGTCCCATGACATCTTACACAATTTCAGTGCCTGTTTTGTCATCTTTTTTCAGTTATTTCTCTTACTTCAATACCCTCAGGCGAAATGTTTAATCTGTTGCCTCACTCTTAACCCCGTGCATGGTATTATTTTGATGAAAAATGCAAGGATAAAAAAATAAGGAATCCGTCGCTTGTAAACAAAATAAGATGCCATTGTATTTTCAGCTGCATACCCTGCGGCATGTTCGGCGTTTCAAGAGGGAACAAATGACGTCCATGCTATTATTCCGGAGGTTTTTTAATTTGAAAGTGTGGTTTCTTTGATTGTTCATTAACCCCTATCCTGTGTATTTACAACAAAAGAATTTAGTTATCAGAGTGGGGTCATATCCCTTTTTGAATGGTGTAAAATTCCATCACATTTATATAATCTAAACTCATTATAATTTGAGAAATAAAAGCATTGCAATTATGTTCATTCTTTATGGGATGTCGTCTGCTTGGGCAGGGTTGGTTCATATTGTGACGGCATTAAAACATCGTTATTTTTCCGGCGAATCTCTCGCATATCCCAGATGCTATGGAGGTGGTTTTATTTATATTTCATAAATCGCCCGATATGTAGTTGACCTTTAACTTGCATGATGGCCATCTGTTAGCTTACCAGTTTCTAGTAATACGCCATTTGCCATATATGTGATTTTCTATGAACCCGTACTTTAAAGTACAAGGTAGTCCATCTAGAGCCGCAAGGCCTTTTCAAGTGAGCCCTGTAGGCAAGTGACAAAGTACATGGTAAAACATTACAAAACATTTAACACAATATACACAAAACAGTTATTTACTACTGGATATATTAAGTACGTTAAACACAAAACACGTGTAAGTTCAGTGAAAAGACGAAAATTCAAGCTTAGTTAAAACATGGACCTATTACGGATGGACATTCATCGTTTTCTTAACGAATTCATTGTAATTGTCTCCGTCAATGTCGTCTCAATAACATTCCCTACGTGTTTCTTCACTTTGATCTCATCATGGTCGCCGCTAAAAAGCTGGACAGAATCACGATAGTGATTTTACACATGTTAATCTACATGCGCAGAAGATAATAACTCGCCTAAATCATGGAAAATAGATGTGCAGTTCTGGCTTATAATCGGAAAATGTTGTTCCGTGTACTGTACATGTAATATATTTTGAGAAACAAGTTGATATTACCAGATAGAGGTTATTTTTGGTTGTGATTTAAAATCCCGTTTCCCCCTATTTCCTCATAATATTCCAGAGTTACAACGCACAGGGCTGATACAGATCATGGCTTTCTAATTGTTTTATAAGGTCATAGGTGTTTGCGAAAGTTTGCGAATCAGTAATAATACATTTCATATCACCAAAATCGTCTGCTTTTCAACTTTGCTACTCCCCATTGGGGATGCTTTTATTTAAGACACACTCTTACAGAGCACACCATCCAAACAAAACCCAAGAGAGGAAAACTGCTCCTTTGTCAATGCCCGAAAATGCTTACGCAGTCGTTATTGTTAAAACGGCTGAATGTTCTCATTAAGATGCACATAATCAGAAGGCGGCGACTATCATTGGACCAAAGAAAGAATCACGTTGAATGTCCATCCGTAATAGGTCCATGGTTAAAATGAGCCAAATCGTGAAAGTACATGTATTACTCAGCTGGGGTACATCTTACAACGGGAGGCACTCATTTTTTCAGAAGGTTCGTTTTTTCGAAGTTTCGTAATTCCAAGTGAAATTAGATTGTGAATTGTGAAAATTTGTGAATTTCAAAACACTTAAAAGAGTATACTCTGTAATTTTCGGAACTTTCACAATTATGAATCGTATACAATTTGGGAAATACGAACCTTCGGAATTATGACCCTTCAGAAACACGACATGTAGCCAGGGGCGTCGCCAAAGGGGGTGTGGGGGGGGGGGGGGTGCGACACCCCCCACCTGTCAGGATATTGTCGGTGAAATTGCGCTGCCGTCGGGAAAAAGAGAAAAGGGGGAGGGAAAAAAGAGAGGGAAAAAAGAGAGGGAAAGGGAAAGAAAAGAAAAAAAGAAAAGGAAAAGAAAAGAAAGAAAGGAAAGAAAGGAAAAGAAAGAAAAAAAGAGAAGAAAGAAAGAGAAAGACAAAAAGGGAGGAGAGGAAAGAAAGGAAAAGAAAGAAAAGAGAGAAAAGGAAAAAAGAAGAAAAAAGAGTGAAAGGGAAACAAAAGAAACGGGGGGTGAAAGAGAGGAGAGAGAGGGGAGGTAAGAGTCTGAGAGAGGAGGAGTGGGAGTAAAAGAGAGAAGGGGGTTGTTGGGTGGAGTCGTCTCGTCGAGGGAGCAAGAAAGACACGGGTAAATATGTTGCTGTGTCGGGTCAGCTGTGTCGGTATTCTCGCTCGATCCTCGTGTATTATATCAATGCAGAAGTTTGAAGCCGGTGAGATGTATAATTGTCGGTCGGCCGACAAGTTTTTTTCCCTACGAACTGTGACTTCTTATCCGCTGTGACGACTTCGAGAGTGACTACAACGACAATACTTGTATTTTCTCGAAGTTTCACTTGCCTATAATATCAGCTAAAGAAATAGGAGGTTTAAAATTTTCGGGGAAACTAAATTCAAACAAGGGTTAAGAGTCAACAACGGTACGACGAATCGTCTTCCTTTCTTTATATTGTGATGAAACGCCAAAAATTCCGCGCTTCGCGCGGAAAGGGAAAACTTCATTTAGACGAGTCGAGAACGGTACAACGAATCGTCTTCTTTCTCTAATAATATCAGAAAACGTCAAAGCTTCCGCGCTTCGCGCGAGAGGGGGAAACTGAATTCAGACAAAATTAATAGGGCTTATTTAGAGTCAAAAACGGTACAACGAATCGTGTTCTTTCTCTAATAATTTAAGGAGACGTCAAAGCTTCCGCGCTTTGCGCGAGAGGGAGAAACTGAATTCAGACAAAATTAATAGGGCTTATTTAAAGTCAAAACGGTACAACGAATCGTGTTCTTTCTCTAATAATATTAGGAAACGTCAAAGCTTTCGCGCTTCGCGCGAAGGGGAAACTGAATTCAGATGAAAAGGGCTTATTAAGAGTCGAAAACGGTACGACCAATCGTCTTCTTTCTCTAATAATCAAATGAAATGTCAAAACATCCTCGCTTCGCGCGGGAGGGGGAAGCTTCATTCAGATAAAAATTAAGAGTCGAGAACAGTACACCGAATCGTCTGCTTTTTCTCATAATTTAATGAAACGTCAAAGCTTCCGCGCTTTGCGCGGGAGGAGGGGGGGACTGAATTCAGAAAAGGATAAGCAGTCGAGAACGGTACAGCAAATCGTCTTCTTTTTTTATAATAATTAAATGAAACGTCAAAGCTTTCGCGCTTCGCGCGGAAGGGGGGGGGGAGGAGGGGACTTCTTACAGCCAAGGATTACCAGTCGAAAACGGTACAATTAATCGTCTTCTTTTCCTAATAATTTGAGGAAACGTCTGAGCTTCCGCGCTTCGCGCGGGAGGCCCATCACCCACACCCCACTAATGAGCGCGCTTTTAAGTGATACTCTGGCTTACTACCGCCCCTCCCTAAAATAAGATCCTAGCTCCGCGCCTGCATTAAAATATATAGCTATGATGCTGACTAAATTGAAGAAATAATTCGTATATTTATGTCGTCGAGGTAAATGACCATTTTGCGCATATGCAAGTACTATAGATAGCCAATAGGAAAAAACAATTTAGCCTTCGGCCCCAGGTTTATAGGGTTGAATTTGTAGATATTGGACATTTAATTTTGTGGGTAATTGGTGGCTAGTTTTGTCGGTAATTGTTGGCCTCTACACCCCCCCCCCCTCCCACTGAAAAAGGTCTAGCGACGCCCCTGCATGTAGCCCTCACAACACCTTGCTTTGCTCAGCAAATATCTTGGTCACGTTTATAGTTGAACTAATACCATTTATAAGAAATAAGTACTTGCGTAAAGGGGGGAATGAGAATGAGCATTTTCTCGGCACGACTGTGTTGGTTTGGTTTGCAATAACTTTCCAACGATCATGGGCATTATCGAGTATCAACTTTTGTCATTGTTTTCTCCAGTCAAAACCTGTTTATCGGTTGAAGGCATGGGTGTCGATCCCGGGGGGATGGGGGGGGGGATATATCCCCCCCCCCCCAATATTTCAGGTGGGGGGATGGCCTGTACAATCATCCCCCCCCCCAATAATTCACCATAAATTTTTTTTTTTAAATGAAGAGAAAAATTAATGATGAGAGTCCGATGAGAGTAGTTAATGGTTAGTTAATAGTTATTATTCGCAAGATGACCATCAATATACACATTTTGCTATCTCATTTTCATAATACATACATATATACGAAGTTAATAAGACAACCGTATATGAGACAAGAATAAATTGAATTCTCGCTCATATGGCTTCATCAGGAATTGATGAATTTATTCAATTTGTTCAATCAACAGCATCATAGAAATGCAGTGCGTCAAAAGCAACAAGCTAAATGTTAAGCGCGAAGCACAAAAGTAGCAATCTGCAATGCACATCAGACAATCCTGGACAGTGTAAACATAGATAAAGTCTGTGACGATTTCGTGATGAGATCGGAGACAAGGAGAAAGATTTTCGGACATTAGTATGACTTATAAAATAGTTCCTAGTTGATATGTTGTTTCCGTTCACCCTTTTTAAAATTCACGTCATTGTATCTTTATTTTTATTTTTTTCACTCATTTTATTTCCTGATATTTCCTAAAACATTTTTCATTTTTGGAGAAAGATAATTATGTCACAACTTATTTGTGACACAACTTATTTGTGACACAACTTATTTTCAGTGGGGAAACTGAATTCAGACAAGGATTAATATAGAGAACAGTACAACGAATCGTCTTCTTTCTCTAATAATTTAGCGAACAATGATTACAGACAAGGATTAAGAGTAATAATTTATTGAAACATTAAAGCTGAAAACTGAATTCATGAAGGACACGATACAATAAATCGTCTTCTTTCTCTAATAATGTAATAAACTGTGAAAGCTTCCGCGCTTCGCGCAGGAATGGGCAAAAATGAATTGAGACAAGGATTAAGAGTCGAGAATGGTACATCGAATCGTCTTCTTTCTTTAATAATCTAATGAAACGTCAGAGCTTCCGCGCTACGCGCAGAGGAAGGGGAACTTCATTCAAACAAGGATTAAGAGTCGAGAATGGTACATAGAACCGTCTTCTTTCTTTAATAATCTAATGAAACGTCAGAGCTTCCGCGCTACGCGCGGAGGAAGGGGAATTTGATTCAAACAAGGATTAGGAGTCGAGAACGGTCCAACGAATCGGCTTCTTTCTTTAATAATCTAATGAAACGTCAGAGCTTCCGCGCTAAACGCGGAGGAAGGGGAATTTGATTCAAACAAGGATTAGGAGTCGAGAACGGTCCAACGAATCGGCTTCTTTCTCTAATAATTTAGTGAAACGTCAAAGCTTCCGCGCTTTGCGCGGGGGGGGGGGGGGGACTCCCCCTCCCTGCACCCAACCCCCTAGGAACCGCGCTTTGCGTGCTCACTACCGCTCCCCTAAAATTAAATCCTGGCCACGCGCTTGGGAGGGGTGCAACTTGCCACACGCTTCTACCACTTTGGTTGCTTTGATCCATTGCCGAAAATATTTTGGCACCTATCATCCCCCTCCCCCCCCCCCAACCACGGATACAAATCGACACCCTTGGTTGAAGGGCGTAGGAGATGGTGAGGGGAACATGGTTGTTCCCCCCCCCCAATAGAATGCCAGTAGGGGGGGGGGACTCCAAGGAAAACAAATTGCCAAAGGACTTTCAAGAAATCATCTCAAAAGAAAATTTCCAAACCCTTATGTTTTGTCTATGAAAATAATTCTGACTATTTTCAAATACAGCTGCATGTTAAAGAGAAAGAGAGAGAGAGAGAGAAAGAGAAAGAGAGAGAGAGAGAGAGAGAGAGTGAGAGAGATGAAGGGAGGGAGAGAGAGAGAGAGAGAGAGAGGGTTCGGGAAGGGTGGGGGCGAAAGGCAGAAAAAGGGAAATGACCATGAACAGGTGCAGACTTTTTGCCCCCTCCCTGTTTTGCAGGGTGTGCTTGTTCACATTTCCACCCCATTGCGAATTCATATTCCATACCTGTACCATGGACATGCCTGTACTAACGCTATGCCTATAGGGCACCAAGGGGTTGGGGAGAGGGGGGGGGGGGGGGCTAGTGAGCACAATTTTTTGTTTGGCCCTCGAAATGTTTAAAATCGCACTGGGGGGGGGGGGGGCATCTCCAAAAAAAAGATAAAATTAACGTGTTTTTACACGTCCCCCCCCCCTGGATCCGCCACTGCGACCAAGACACGTCACGCTAGGTCTCTATGTCTTTTCAGTGTTGTTGTTGTTGTTATTATCATTATTATCATTGTTATTATATTTTTATATTGCTAGTAGCTAGGCCTATGTGCAAGGGTGTCGATTTGTATCCTCGGTTGGGGGGGGGGGGGAATTATAGGTGCCAAAATATTTTCGGCAATGGATCAAAGCAACCAAGAAGTAGAGGCGTGTGGCAGGTTGCACCCCCTCCCTTCCAAGTGTAGCGAAGTAGAGATATCTCCCTTTAAACCAGATACCCCCCCCTCTCTCTCTCTCTCTCTCTCTCTCCTATTTTCATCATCCTTTCTACTGGAGGTCAACAAACTATAGTAGGATGAAACCTGGTCATTTCCACTTGTCCAAATGTTCCAAGAATAGGATGTTTGTAGATAATGAGAATGCCCCTTATTTCATTGGAGTTTAGGTCCATTCACATGAAGGAAAGGATAGGATTAAATCTGTTCACATAGAATAGGTACATGACCTATAGTAGACAAAGCCCCTATTCAACCAGTGTTGCCAAAACTTAAGACTTAGATTTATTTACCCCAGGATTAGAAACACAGGGAGAGGAAGTTAATGTTGACAATCTTTGATGATAAGCAAACATATAAATTGTCCTTCTGCCTCTGCGAAAACCAGTTTGGGCTGGAAGACAAAGCATTTGTTTTCTTGGAAAAGGAGTTGGGTCAGCGCAGGAAGTACTAGCAGGGATATACCCCACTGTCCAATGAGCCTTTGTCTTTTCTACTCCTTCCCCTTATTTTTACTTTCGCCCAATCAGAATGTTAGGATTAATGGTCCAGGAACACTGTTTGAGTGTCCATCAAGTGTTATGCCCGCCCAGTCACCTACTGTAATTATAACGAAATAGTGAAGTTTAGTGTAAGAATATTTTGTAGGAGGAGATCTCAGAATCGAGATTGTGAATATGTAATTAGGTATAAAACCCCCATCCCCTGCATGAAATCCTCACTTGGAACCCCCTCACTTAGAACGTCCCCACCCGGAACCTTTCTCCTCCTAACCCATCTCTAACTCATCAGTGCTCCAAGATCAAATATAGAACATACTTCAAGATTTGGACTTTGGAGAAGTGAAGCAACAGTTTTGGTTGACCTTCTACGATATATTCTAGCAAAAAGCAACAGTATCAGGTTGAGAGAATTTCATGATCGACAGAAAGCAGCAACAGTTAAATTGAAACAAAGCTTTAACGTTTAAGCTAAAGGACTTTCACACAACCATCAAAGTGTCCAAGTCAACTTCCAGTTTCGTCCAAGTCAAGTTCCCGTTCCCGTACCCGCCAAGTCACCAAGTCACGTCCAGCTTCGTTCCTGTCATATCCTGTCCAGCTTTGTTCCCGCCAAGTCACCAAGTCACGTCCAGCTTCGTTCCTGTCATATCCTGTCCAGCTTTGTTCCCGCCAAGTCAAGTTCCTCCAAGTCAAGTTCCTCCAAGTCTCGTCCAAGTTCGTCCCAGTCGCATCTCGTCCCAAGTCAAGTCCTCGATCGAAATATCAGCGAGCTAAGTGGCCATAATTACTAACTTCATTTCCATTAACCTATCCCTTCCCTTCCCCATTAGACTGTAACAAATTAAGTAAGAATTAAGTCGCCCTTTAACTCTTAAGAATACTTTGCAATTATATTTATTGCAACATTTATATATACATTGTATTATTTCTATTATTCTGATTTGATGGATGAGATTTGTCATTCATATTAATTAAATAATTACCAAGTGACATCGTAATTCAAAGCGTGTCCAAGCACTTTATTTCTGGATTTGTCTCTTTGTATTTTATATTTTAATAATATCATACACTGATACAGTGGTCTATTTGAGACTAACCCCACCCCCGAGTGAAAGTCATATAGCTAGCGGACCAATACAAAAACCTGATTTCACTCGGAGCCTGAATCTATTATTTCATCATAATAGAAGACGCGTGGCGTGGCCGTTAGACGGAACCCACGACCTTCGCGTTATCAGCACGAATACTCTAGTAGGATTTTGGTTTTAAATATTTCAAAAAGCTGTAACGCTCCCAAATTATTTTTGTTAAAGACAGGTTTGATGCCAAGTCCCTGTCAGTAAAAAGTGCTTGCATATGTAAAATAGTTTTGGAGACAGTTTATTCATTTTACAGTTTTTTTTGTGTGTGAAGTTGTATACATTATCGTTGAGATTTGAGTGCAGGTATTCCATTGACTGAGGATTTGAATTTGAATCTTTATGGTGCAGAGGAATAGTTGATTTGTTTGGAAATTAATTATACTATTTGGTCTTTATATTGATTTATTTAAAATCATTTTTTTTGTTTAATCGCTAGCCCTGTTCTCCATTTTTTTATTTTTTGACGATATTACATTCCAATCCTCTGATATCACCCCCTTATCTGACGAATGGTTGAATATTTTGTGTGAGTGTATGTGTTGCTGAGGTGTATGCTCGCTAGTGATTGGCAAATTTTTATATTTTCCGCTTAGCGTTGCTCTATACTATTTCATGTTAAAGTCCTTATTCTTTTGTATAGTCAATATTATAGATTGGGATTTGACTGTTTTTTTTTTGTTTCTGTTGTAGATTTAATAATCGTATAGTTGTCTTTCCTAAGATCCTTTTATTCCTCTTATTTCCTTTAGATCTATTCCTCTTCTACTTCTTTATTTTTCTTTCATACTTTCTCTCCTTACTTCTTTAAACAATGGCTTCTGTTAAGGGAGATTGTGTTGTTTTGATAAAGGGATTGAGTCCTTCAACTACCGAGGACGGTTTAAGAGAATTTTTAGAAAAGATTGGGGAAGTGTCCCACTTAAACTTTGGCAAAGATTCTGTAACTGGCGAGAGCACCGGTAATGCTCACTGTGCTTTTGCTAGTAGTGTCCTTGCATTACGAGCAATATCCGAACTAAATAAAGAGACCTTAGATGACAAGGTACTTGAGATATTAGAAATTCCCCCATCCAATCTTGTTCTCAAACTAAAGAAGGAACCAATTGATGTTAGTCCGCCTGTACTTAGGTCCCAAACCGTAATCCAGAACCCATTCAAACTTTCAATATTTTCTGGGGATCCGAAACCCAAGGGTGGTGATGTTCCTTTCGAAGTTTGGATGCACGAGATAAAATGCCTCCAAACAGATGAAAGCTGCAGTCATCAAGCCTTAGCTAGGCTAGTTCGGCGATCCTTGCGTGGTGAAGCTGCCCAATTGGTTTTACATATGGAGGTGGACACAACAGTCCAGGATATTTTGAGCAAGTTAGAGGGGTTCTATGGCACTGTGGAAAGTGGGGCTGCGCTCTTACAGCAGCTCTACTCTTCCAAGCAGAGCCCCGAGGAAGGCGTTTCTGCCTTCAGCGCTCGCCTCCAGCTGCTAATTGATAGGGCAGAGCATAGGAGTGGCATCTCTAAGTCGGCTAAGGATGAAACGCTGCGCGTGATATTTTGGAAGGGCTTGTCGAATGTAAGCCTTAAACAAGCCATACGGCATAAATATGAGGTGATTGACTCATTTGACGAGCTTGTGCGGGTAGCTCGGCTGGTAGAGCAGGAAAGTGAAGATTTTCGGAACTTTCATGCTCAGGAAAATCAGCGACCCGCCACAAAATTAATGCGCATGCCGCGCAGGTCCAGTCCCCTCAGGCCGACCTCGAGAAGGAGCTGAAAGAGATTCGAGAGAAATTGAGGGAGATGGAGGTAGGACGCCAGGGACCCCCTCCCCAGTCAAATTTTCCACGGGCTCCCAGGGCTCCCAAGGGACCATGTTATACTTGTGGAAGGGTAGGCCACTTTTCTAGGGAATGTAACCTCCGTAGACCCCCATCCCATGGCTATAACCAGCACCCTCCCCATCCCGTTAATTCTCACATGATGGGAACAATGCCCCCTCATGACAACATGCCCCATCCTCCTCCCCTCATGTCCCATCCTCCTCCCCTCATGTCCCATCCTCCCCCTCTCATGTCCCATCATTCTACCCCCATGTCCCACCATGACACACAGTTTAGTTTAAACGAAAACAGGTCTCTGCCGTGGGACAGGCGGTAGACCAGGTGCAGGTTAATTCTAGTAATGTCCCCCCTTCCCCATCTACGATGAAGAAAATGGTTGGTCCAGCAAATGAAGCTTTGTCCATTATTAATGGACATAGATCCAAATGTTTGATCGACACTGGCTCCCAAGTTACGACTTTGTGTAAATCATTTTATGCATGTAATCTTAAAGGTACCCCTCTCCATTCACTTGAAAACCTTATTAAGGTTGAAGGTGCAAATGGATTGCCCGTCCCCTATTTAGGATATGTAGAAATTTCAATTCATCTCCCAGGTTCCCTCCCCGCCCCCCAGGAATTAGTTGCCCCTGTGTTGATTGTCCCCGATACCCCATATAATCGAAAGGTCCCATTATGTGTAGGTACAAATGTTATTCAATCGTGTATTGAGATAGGACATGCTAATTATGGCCATGATTTTGAATCACATACGGACTTGACCCCTACTTGGAAAGAAGTGTATGCATGTATGCAACGACCGATACCGGCGACCGTGGAAGGCAGACTAGGCGCTGTAAGGATCGCAGCCAAAAAAGCTGTTAAGATTCCTGCAAAACAGGCAGTAGTTGTGCCGGGTGAAGTATCGCTTCCTTGCGTAGGATATGCATATGCAGCAATGTTAGAACCTCGTATACGTGATTTCCCCACTGGCCTGGTGGTTAATCAGAATGTCATAGTTGTTGATCGCGAGCGGCAGCAATCTAGGTGTGTCCCTATTTTGATTGAGAATCATACTGACAGTCCCATTTGGTTATACAGACGCCAGATTCTAGGTGATCTATATGTGTGTGAAGTGCAAGGGCCCATTCAAACAAACAAGCAAAGCGTGGTAACTCCTGAGGCAATGGGAGGTGGTGATGGTGTTATAGAGGGATTAGATTTTTCGGACTCTCCTGCCTCCCCCTATGATGTAGATAAGGTGAAAAAGGTTTTGGGCAAATACTCCCATGCCTTTAGCACATCCGATCATGATCTAGGGCGAAGTAGCATCATCAAACACACTATCCCCCTCAATGATGCGCAACCATTTCGGGAGAGGTACCGGCGGATCCCCCCCTCAATGTACGAAGAAGTACGGGAACACATAAGATCTATGCATGAAGCCGGAGTCGTTAGGGAATCATTCTCCCCATATGCAAGCCCTGTCGTTCTTGTTCGCAAGAAAGATGGGACTTTAAGATTTTGCATAGATTTCCGCAAGCTCAATCAGCGAACAATTCGCGATTCCTATGCTTTGCCCAGAATAGACGAGACGCTCCAAATGCTTCATGGTGCAAAGTGGTTCAGCTCCTTAGATCTTAAATCTGGATATTGGCAACTAGAAGTTGAGGAGAAAGATAAGCACAAAACTGCTTTTGTACTTCCCCCTCCGCTCGGATTGTGGGAGTGCAATCGCATGCCTTTCGGACTTTGCAATGCTCCCAGTACTTTTCAAAGGGCGATGGAGAAATGCCTAGGAGACTTAAATCACACTTGTTGTGTCGTTTATTTAGACGACATAATAGTGTATGGGAGAACTGTCGATGAACAGGTTAATAGACTAGAAACCGTCATTAAGCGCCTCGCGGAAAATGGGTTCAAACTAAAAGCATCCAAATGTAAGCTCCTCCAAACCAGAGTGAAATATTTGGGCCACATCATTTCAGATAGAGGAATCGAAACTGACCCAGACAAAATTGAATCTGTTAGAAGTTGGGCTACCCCTACTTGTGTCCGAGAGGCTCGTTCTTTTCTTGGATTTGCGAACTATTACAGAAAATTCATCCCTGGATTTGCTAAGATAGCCACACCCCTGCATGATCTCCTGGGTGGACCCCGTAAGAAGAAAGGTAACCATAGGAACCCCCCACACAAATCCCCTCCCTGGAAGTGGACCCCCGAATGTGAAAAGGCATTTCAGTTGTTGAAAGAAAAGCTGATGAGCCCCCCTGTGTTGGCATATGTTGATTTTGATAAATCTTTCATATTGCATACAGATGCAAGTACTACTGGACTGGGTGCAGCCCTATATCAGCTAGATGCAAACGGGAAGGAAAGGGTCATAGCATACGCCAGTCGATCAGTAAATAAGAGTGAAAGGAACGCCCCTGCTCACAAGTTAGAGTTTTTAGCTTTGAAATGGGCCGTGACTGATAAGTTCCATGATTTTCTGTATGGAAACAAAGTACATGTTTGTACAGATAATAATCCTCTCACTTATGTTCTAACCACGGCGAAGCTTGATGCCACAGGGCAACGTTGGCTAGCAGCCTTAGCGAATTATGATATTACTCTTACATATCGCTCCGGTAAGCTTAACATTGACGCCGATGCTCTTTCTAGACAGCCCCAGCCCACCTGTAGTACCGAGTCCCCAGTAGATAGTGAACCCCCAATTTCAGTTGAAGCATTCCAGGCGGTAGTTAATTATGCCCTACATGTTGACGTGGAAGATAGTCCATATGTTGAAATGATGGGTACTACTGTTAATGCTTTTACTTGTTCTAGTGACCCCCCTCATAGCTTCCCTGGCCTACCCCCAGACTGGGAGGAAGAACAAAGTAAGGACCCTTCCATCAGAAAAGTAATAGATTATGTTAAACAAGGTACACAGCCCCCAATAGGTTTGGTTAGGAATGAGTCACTTCAGGTGAAGATTTTGTTGAGAGAGTGGGACAAGCTAGAGATGAAACAAGGAGTCTTGTACAGAAGGAGGTTTGATAAGGGAAAGCTCACCCTACAACTTGTCCTTCCCTCAAAGTATCGGACCTTAGCCTTGAACTCCCTACACGACGAAATAGGCCATCTAGGAATTGAACGAACCACAGACTTGATTCGTGAGAGGTTCTTTTGGCCTTTCCTAGCTAAAGATGTGAAAATCTATGTTGGGAGTTGCGGTCGTTGTGTGCGCAGAAAAGGAGTCCAAAATTTGAGGAATACTGCCCCCTTAGTTAGTGTGAAGACTAATAGACCCCTTGAATTAGTTTGTATGGACTACTTGACCCTAGAGGAATCAAAAGGTGGGTACGGGAATATTTTGGTTATCACTGATCATTTTACTCGATACTCAGTAGCGGTGCCAACCAGAAACCAGACGGCAACCACTACGGCCAAGGCCCTCTTTGATCACTTTCTAGTACATTATGGATTCCCTGAACGGTTGCACTCTGATCAAGGTAGAAACTTCGAGTCCGAGGTAATTAAGCAACTGTGTAGTTTGGTAGGAACTCATAAATCTAGGACAACCCCCTATCACCCCCAAGGTAATGGCTCTTGTGAGCGGATGAATCGTACACTCCTCGGTATGCTTGGTACCCTCTCTGACGAGAAAAAGAGTGACTGGAAATTGTATGTTGCCCCCTTAATTCACGCATACAATTGCACTAAACATGACGTCACTGGGTTTTCCCCCTTTTATTTGATGTTTGGTAGACACCCCCGCCTTCCCATAGACTTGTACTTAGGACTCCATGCAAAAGATAACTCCTCCTCTAGTGCACCCGAGTATGTCACGCATTTACGAGATCGTCTTGATTATGCTTATAATTTGGCATCAGGAAGAGGTGATGAGATGAATCAGAAAAACAAAACTGCCTATGATAGGAAGCTGAAGGAAAATAAGGTTGTGGTAGGAGATAGAGTCTTAGTTAGAAATGTGGGGGTAAGAGGAAAGAACAAGCTTGGTGACAAATGGGGCAAGGTGCCACATGTTGTCGTGGAGCGCCCCAACATAGACATCCCTGTGTTTAAGGTGCGACCCGAAACAGGAGGTGGTAAGAGCCGTATGCTTCATCGCAATTTATTGCTCCCCTGTAACTTTCTGCCTAAGACTGCACCCCCTCCCAGGCCCCCTCCCCCTAGACATGTAAGGAAAACCCCTCCCGCCCCTGTAATTGAGATTGAGCAAGAGCCCGGCCTATGTGATGAGAATGACATTGATGTTGTCGTTTGGGATGTCCCTGTGGTAGATACAAGTGAAAATGAGGTAAATATTGTGAATCCGAATGTTGAGGAAAATGATAGTAATTTGACGCCCCCGAACCCCGCCCCAGAAGAAACAGACCCTGTAATTTTAGAGGACGATAATGACCATGTTAGCACTGCTAGTGAAGATAGCAGTGATGCTAACAGTGATATAGTTGATATAGAGGACCAAGAGGAAGATCCTACCCCCGATACATGCCCTGCCCTAACTGGTGAGGAGCAAGAGGCCGCCTCCATGTTTGAGGAAGATTGTCCTCCGAGACGATCGCAAAGATGCCCGCGCCCACCAAATAGGCTAGCATACTACCAGAGCCAAATAGTACAGCCAATCAATAATAGCAAGTATGGATGGTCCATGATGTATGTTTTGCTGTTGCTAGTGTTTGTGAAATTTATATTTTTGTTGTTTTCACCAACTGAGATCATTGCGAGTATGATGTTGATGTTAGTGGTGCTTCTGTTATCAACTCTGCCAGCAACCCGTGACATGGTTGCACCAGTTTTTAGTGTAAGGGAAAATGTTGACCAGGTGCGATTACATGATGTTAGAAGAAATGTAAATATGAACTTTGGTATGGATGAGAAAGCCACTCATTCTGTATTTTAATTTGACAATTGATTTTGATACTTTAGTATTGATACAAGTACTAATAACTTGTTTTTTTTTAAAGAGTGGGAATACTCCACCCTTAGCTGTTTGTATATGGTTTGTGGCTCAATGAGTTCCACACATGCATTAATTGCACCATAGTATTATTGTTATAATGTGCACATGAAGTGACACATCTTGTATCTCTGATTTCTTTGAGGAAATCATACAAATTATTGTTTTGTTTGAGGTTAGAGAGTATGAAGCTTTCTAGATTGCAAGGAATCGAAACATTCACATAAAATAAAGATAATCACTTTAATTTTATATGGAAGGTTAAGATGTTTTAGTTTTGTTATTTTTTTTGGAGACATTTGGTTGATTGGTAGGGAAGAAATAGAAAAAATAAATGTAGTTCTTATTTTACAATGTGTATCTTTGCACTAATAGATACAGTCATAAATGATGTATATTATGATATATTGTGCTTTGACACAATATCGCTTGATTTAATTTTGTTTGGGAATCTGAGGATATACCGACATGATATTATTTTGTGTAATTATTTGCATTCTAGCTATGCATTTGATTTATTTTAAGTTTACACTGACATTTTTTATAGATGGATTTGTAAAGATGGAGTTTAATCTCTGTTGTTATGTAATAGGACATGACTTGTGTACATGTAGGATACTTTGGTCATAAAGTATAATTGTGTTATATGCTATTGCCTTCATATCTTGTATATGAGCGCAGTAGGCATCAATTGAGTGTTGTAGTGGTTGTAGTAGTATTTCAGATGTCATTTGGTAAACCATGAATATAGGAAAGACAGTTATAGTTAAGTTGAGGTGTGTTTTTTTATATTCCATTTTTGGGAATGGCGAGGTCGCCATTCAAGTGGCCAAGGGGAAGATGTAGCGAAGTAGAGATATCTCCCTTTAAACCAGATACCCCCCCCTCTCTCTCTCTCTCTCTCTCTCTCTCCTATTTTCATCATCCTTTCTACTGGAGGTCAACAAACTATAGTAGGATGAAACCTGGTCATTTCCACTTGTCCAAATGTTCCAAGAATAGGATGTTTGTAGATAATGAGAATGCCCCTTATTTCATTGGAGTTTAGGTCCATTCACATGAAGGAAAGGATAGGATTAAATCTGTTCACATAGAATAGGTACATGACCTATAGTAGACAAAGCCCCTATTCAACCAGTGTTGCCAAAACTTAAGACTTAGATTTATTTACCCCAGGATTAGAAACACAGGGAGAGGAAGTTAATGTTGACAATCTTTGATGATAAGCAAACATATAAATTGTCCTTCTGCCTCTGCGAAAACCAGTTTGGGCTGGAAGACAAAGCATTTGTTTTCTTGGAAAAGGAGTTGGGTCAGCGCAGGAAGTACTAGCAGGGATATACCCCACTGTCCAATGAGCCTTTGTCTTTTCTACTCCTTCCCCTTATTTTTACTTTCGCCCAATCAGAATGTTAGGATTAATGGTCCAGGAACACTGTTTGAGTGTCCATCAAGTGTTATGCCCGCCCAGTCACCTACTGTAATTATAACGAAATAGTGAAGTTTAGTGTAAGAATATTTTGTAGGAGGAGATCTCAGAATCGAGATTGTGAATATGTAATTAGGTATAAAACCCCCATCCCCTGCATGAAATCCTCACTTGGAACCCCCTCACTTAGAACGTCCCCACCCGGAACCTTTCTCCTCCTAACCCATCTCTAACTCATCAGTGCTCCAAGATCAAATATAGAACATACTTCAAGATTTGGACTTTGGAGAAGTGAAGCAACAGTTTTGGTTGACCTTCTACGATATATTCTAGCAAAAAGCAACAGTATCAGGTTGAGAGAATTTCATGATCGACAGAAAGCAGCAACAGTTAAATTGAAACAAAGCTTTAACGTTTAAGCTAAAGGACTTTCACACAACCATCAAAGTGTCCAAGTCAACTTCCAGTTTCGTCCAAGTCAAGTTCCCGTTCCCGTACCCGCCAAGTCACCAAGTCACGTCCAGCTTCGTTCCTGTCATATCCTGTCCAGCTTTGTTCCCGCCAAGTCACCAAGTCACGTCCAGCTTCGTTCCTGTCATATCCTGTCCAGCTTTGTTCCCGCCAAGTCAAGTTCCTCCAAGTCAAGTTCCTCCAAGTCTCGTCCAAGTTCGTCCCAGTCGCATCTCGTCCCAAGTCAAGTCCTCGATCGAAATATCAGCGAGCTAAGTGGCCATAATTACTAACTTCATTTCCATTAACCTATCCCTTCCCTTCCCCATTAGACTGTAACAAATTAAGTAAGAATTAAGTCGCCCTTTAACTCTTAAGAATACTTTGCAATTATATTTATTGCAACATTTATATATACATTGTATTATTTCTATTATTCTGATTTGATGGATGAGATTTGTCATTCATATTAATTAAATAATTACCAAGTGACATCGTAATTCAAAGCGTGTCCAAGCACTTTATTTCTGGATTTGTCTCTTTGTATTTTATATTTTAATAATATCATACACTGATACAGTGGTCTATTTGAGACTAACCCCACCCCCGAGTGAAAGTCATATAGCTAGCGGACCAATACAAAAACCTGATTTCACTCGGAGCCTGAATCTATTATTTCATCATAATAGAAGACGGCGTGGCGTGGCCGTTAGAAAGTTATTAACTTTTTCAAGTCACCCTCAATAAAGATAACATTTTAGAGAATATGGGGCCCATGTGAGTCCCACATGGGCTTGCTACCTGGGTTATTATCCTCTCAAGCATTATAGGTATGATTTTAATTTAGGGGGGGCGGTAGTGAGCACCTCCTAGGGGGTGGGTGCAGAAAGGGAAAGTTTCCCCCTTTCCGCGCGAAGCGCGGAAGCACTAACGTTTCATTAAATTATTAAAGAAAGAAGACGATTCGTTGTAACATTCTCGACTCTTAATCCTTGTCTGAATTCAGTTTCCCTCCCCCCCCTCCCGCGCGAAGCGCGGAAGCTTTGACATTTCATTAAATTATTAGAGAAAGAAGACGATTCTTGTACCATTCTCGACTCTTAATCCTTGCTGAATTCAGTCCCCCCCCCACCTCCCGTGCAAAGCGCGGAAGCTTTGACATTTCATTAAATTATTAGAGAAAGAAGACGATTCTTGTACCATTCTCGACTCTTAATCCTTGCTGAATTCAGTTCCCCCTTCCCGCGCGAAACGCGGAAGCTTTGACGTTTCATTAAATTATTAGAAAAAGAAGACGATTCGTTGTACCATTCTCGACTCTTAATCCTTGTCTGAATTCAGTTCCCCCCCCCCCCCCTCCTCCCGCGCGAAGCGCGGAAGCTTTGAAGTTTCATTAAATTATTAGAGAAAGAAGACGATTCGTTGTACCGTTCTCGACTCTTAATCCTTTTTCTTCCTACGCCATCTTCCTATCTTCTTTCTCTCTCTTTTTTTGGGGGGGGGGGGGGCGACAACTCCCACCACCCCCTGGCTACGCGCCTGTATCCTCTCTGTCTCTCAAGTTATCTCTCTCTCCCACTCTCTTCTGCTTTTTTGCACTTTTGCGCTTCGCGCTTAACATTTACTAAGCTCGTTGCTTTTTAACGCTGCGGCTTTGCATTTGGGGCACTGCATTTCTATGCGGGTTTCTATGATGCTGTTGATTGAATAAATTGAATAAATTCATCAATTCCTGATGAAGCCGTATGAGCGAGAATTAAATTTATACTTGTCTCATATACGGTCGTCTCATTTACTTAGTTTTCTATTTATATATGTATGTATTATGAAAATGAGATGCCTATGTGTACGTTTTTAACCAATATTTGAGTAGGATCGACGTCATCATCTTATAATCATTATTATTATCAATATTTTATTATTACTATCATCATCATTATCTCCCTCTCCCCCTCCCTCTCCCCTCCCTCTCCCCTTCCTCTCCCCCTCCCTCTCCCCCTTTCTCTCCCCCTTCCTCTCCCCCTCCCTCTAACCAGAGAGTTGGCTCCCAGCTCTTGAACCATGGATAGATCTATGCCCTCCCTCCCTCATGATATTCGTTTTCAATATTAGTGATTACGCAATATTATGCAATCACATGTAAATACCGCGCGCCGTGGATGAGATCCGGATTCCGTGTTTATGATTGTGCACAGGGTCTCAGCATAGACGTCTATGGTCTCAGCGAGAAGGTATGGTCTCAGTCAGTGCACGTGTACGGCCGTGTGACGGACTGTGGGTGGACGTCAAAACGGAATGAGCAGCCTAGCTAGCTGTATGTTCTGTGTACGATACCCGACAGAGCGGCGCAGGCGACCTTTATGTTTCGCATCTAGAGTACAGTACTGTAGTACAGTGCAGGCATTACATTTCGCACAAAGTCAAAGCAAAGGATACAACGCCTAAACTTACTAAAGCCCTAAGAGGATACCAAAATTCACGGTAAGTCTATGTCTTTTCACATGTCTTTTTCATCTTTTATTCGTAGATCTATTTATCCTCGCATGTACAGTACCAGGCAGTACGTATAAATACTAGTACAATTCAAACTAGACCCCTAATTAGGCCTAATTAGAGTCTACTTGTCGCCTGTAATTACAGTGTTCATGGTGTTGGCTTCTTGTTTAGTGAATATCAGACAGTAGTAGGCCTAGGCCTACTACTTACCAGGCTATTGTAACGATCCACCCTCACAATATTATACTTGTAAACTAGTTTCCATGCTAGCTGTCATATCTTTTATCTGAAACTTCTGAAACATGCAGCTTGAATCATCCCATCCTTTCTTTTCTCAATCTTGTCTTATTTTTGTCTTTTCTCCTCTGTCTCCCTCTCTCCCTCTCTCTCTCTCTCTCTCTCTCTCTCGCTCTCTCGCTCACTCCGAGACCTTGCATGCAGCCAGCCTATTTCTCATCATTCCTTCACATTCTTCATTTATAGGTAAAAATTAATCTTGATTAACTTTATTCCAGAAATACCGCTGCGAGTTATAGATCTAGTCTGGATTGTGTGTGTTTTGTGTATAGATCTAAATACCTGCTTACATTCAAGCAAACATTCTAGTTTAAAGAAGTCTAGTATGAGCGGCTTCACGTATAAACACAACCGGAAGCATACGCGTTGCTTCCGACACACTAGATCCAATCTATAAATCATAGTAATATGCCTAAGAATTCATTATTTATGAAATATGTGATTAAGTTGTATCTATAATAGTAATACGCTAAGGCTCCGCGGGGGGGCATGACGTCTCCGAGCTCCGCCGGCCTTTGTATTCTATTGTTTTTTAATGAGATCGCCGACCCAAGTTGGTGCGGCTATCTCCTCCTGAACCCTGCCCTCGGGGTACCCGTGCCCGGTGCCATCGTCCGCGGGAGAGTCTACTCTAGCGAATTGGCTATACTCCGCCCGAGGTCCTCCTCCGTGTCGACGTCCAGGGCGAAAACAGACGCGACATGCATAATGCAGGATATGCGTGACGACAGAGATACCTCATGGATATTCAACATGACATCCGTAGACACACGACTGATGACTGTCCACTCACATTAAGTTGCGTATTAAATGCACGACGCACAGGGTCGGGCTTACCCGAGTAAAGCATCTTTCTATAGGATATCCATTGTATAGTAGCTGCACGAGCCACAGAGATACACACGAAGCTTCCCGTCCACGTCCAAACTTAGGGACCTATTTCCATCATTATTGCCGCGATTTTTATATAGGTGTCGTGAATGGAGGTATGAAATGAAAGCTTATTTTGTGATTATTACGGCAATGCTACTAAATTTTGATTATCATTTTCTAAAGGAAAGTTTTCACAAGAAAACCATTGGACTGACAATTCAGTCGCAAGCTGCCTTCAGTCAGTGCAGTGCTGCTGTGCAGTGTGTGTGAGCTGCAATTTAACTCCAGCAAGCTCCAACACCGGCTCCGCGCACCGAAGGCGTCCGAGGCCTGCGGCGCCGGTGTTCGAGCTTTCTGGAGTTACACTGTGTGTGTGTGTGTGAGTACAGCTGAGCTGAGCTCGAGTCGAAGAGATTTGACACTTTGAAATTGTTATCTGTTGGTTTGCATCATTATTGCCGCGATTTCAATATAGTTTCGTGAATAGATTTACGAAACCTGAGCTTAGAATTAGTATAAGTATTACTAATGTCTACGTTTTTAAACGACTGTCTGATTTTCTTGTGAAAATTTTACTTTGAAAAATAATTATCGAAATTTATGGTCAGAAATAATCACAATCTAGGGTCTATTATGTTACAGTTCTTGCATCAAATCAATGCATGAAAACTTATTTTTTGAACTAGAAAAATGTTTTTTTTTTAAATAGGCAATTATGAAGAAGGAAACCTGAAACCCTGAGTTGAGTGTATATTTGTTTCAAGGGGCCATAAACCCCCAAAAGCTCGGGGGTTACGTTCTTCAAAGTTGGGGGGGGGGGGGGGGTGGGAGAGATCAGATCGCAGCGAGTTGAGTGTATATACAATATAGGCGTGGGGTCCACGGTTTCAAGGGGCCATAAACCCCCGAAAGCTCGGGGGTTTTCAGTGTTTAATTAGGGTCAGATGAGCATATTTTTAATACTTTATTTGTGACACTTGCAGGTCACTAATTGGCGTGGGGTCAATACGTAGAGTTGCGTAGTGTTGCGTACAAACTACGCTGGCCTACGTTACTATATGCTGAGGAACGAAAAGGGGTACGCAAGATGAAAGAAAACAATTCAACATGTTTAATTTTTTTTGCGTACTTTCGGCGTAGAAACTTGACGCAGAAAGCAGCCTTTTTACGCAACACTACGCTATATGCCTACGCAACAGTACGCTACCCTACGCCAGATCGACAAAGCAGTAAAAGCTTTCCACACAGTAAGCAACCATAAGCAAACCTGTACGCCAGCCTACGCATAACCTACGCAGGGACTATTTTCCCATTAATACGCAGCCTAATTTCTGCATAGTCGGTACGCCACACTACGGAACTCTACGCAGTTCCAGTGGCTTAAAGAATAATTACCGGTACAGTTGGATCGTTTTTTTAATTTTTATATAAGGCCAAATTAAAAAAAAAAAATTTTTAGCATCCTGTTTTTTTCGAAAAATGGGAAGGAGGAGGCCCTTTTTTTTTTCTTTCAAAATAGCCGCTCCGTACATTTACCCTGACATTCGGGCTATTTTTCAAGATGGCGGCCGATAATTTTTTTTTTCTTATTTAAAATCAGAAATACATTTTAGCAGTGCTTTTCATGTTTTTTTTCTTTCAAAAAAAAAAAAAAAAAAAAAAAAAAAAAAAAAAAAAAAAAAAATAGGAGGCGGCCCCCAAAAAGGAAGCGGGCGGGGACGCTAAACATGTATATTTTTTTAATGGCCTGAATGGCAAATAAAGTTCTTGGTGGTTTTAATTTAGACAGTCTCTATATATCTATTTACACCCCCCCCCCCCCCGCCCACCTCTAGAATCCCGCGGATTTCCGCGGGTCCTGCTAGTATATATAGACAAACAAATTATCCCTAATAATATCATATTATTGTCTTAACAATATCTCTTGTTAAAAACGTAAGAGAATTCGAATTTTGTACTTCTTTAGTTTATTAACTAGGATCGGAATTCAGATTGTGCGGGTTACGCGCATTATGTAAATGAGACAGTGGATCCCAAATTGATGCTATGAAATATTTGTTTGTTAAATTTCTGCTCTTATTACAAAGGAGAGTTTGAAATATTTATCTTATGCCTTGTATAAAGTTTCAAATAAACGAATTATAATGTTTTCATTACTAAAGCAGTGTAACTTTTGGAATAAATAAGCATTTAATATTGAATCAATAAAGACTTTGAACTTTATAAAGGCCGATTGCAATGTGTACGCGCATCGATCTCTGTGCATGATCGCGGCGTTGCTTACAGCACGCGCATAGATTTCCCCCACGTCCGCATAAAGTGCATATATAAGATAGATTTTTCGGATTCGGGGCGATTCGTAAGAGTCCGCGGGGGGGGGGGGGGGGGGGGGGGGGAGACTCCCCCTCCCTGCACCCAACCCCCTAGGAACCGCGCTTCGTGTGCTCACTACCGCTCCCCTAAAATTAAATCCTGGCTACGCGCTTGGGAGGGGTGCAACTTGCCACACGTTTCTACCACTTTGGTTGCTTTGATCCATTGCCGAAAATATTTTGGCACCTATCATCCCCCCCAACCACGGATACAAATCGACACCCTTGGTTGAATTCAGACGTGGATTAAGAGTAATAATCAAATGAAACGTGAAAGCTTCCGCGCTATGCGCGGAATGTGCGAAAATGAATACAGACAAGGATTAAGAGTAATAATTTATTGAAACATTAAAGCTTCCGCCCTTCGCGCGGTAGGACGAAAACTGAATTCATGAAGGACACGATTCAACAAATCGTCTTCTTTCTCTAATAATGTAATAAACTGTGAAAGCTTCCGCGCTTCACGCAGGAACGGGCAAAAATGAATTCAGACAAGGATTAAAGGGATCCGGTAACTTTGTCTCAGATTCTGAAAAAAAATTCTGGATTTAGCTCATGATGCAATGATAATTATAAACCTTTAGGTCAGTCAGGAACCCCATGACTTTTACAAGCCGATCGCCTGTCTGATTATCAAGATATTTATGATTGGAATTGCAAATTTTGAAAACCGTTCGCCTGACGGTTTTCATAACACTACAGTCTATTGGGGAAACCGAGTATGGTAAAACCGGTCACTCAAAGATTTTTACTTTTTTGAGGCACTTCTTGATCATTTTGAAGCGCAATTTTTTTAGGGCTTCAGTATTACACCATATCACAGACACTGATAACACGTAGGGCCGTGTATCTCAGATTTAACATTGTTACACGATCCCTTTAAGAGTCGAGAATGGTACAACAAACAAATTATCCCTTCACTGATTTGGGTAGGGTCGGCTGCGACCCTCGCTCCGACCCTACCCAAATCAGAGGCTAACGAACGAAAGAGACAGAAAATTCAGTCTATGAAATAGTATGATGATGGATGCACTGCTTTGACTGTTGATCAAGAAACTTAAAGGCCCACTGCAGTAATTGCAGCTACTTGCGCCCTCTACAAACAATGCCTAATCGGTGACCATTGCTCCCCCATGATCCTCTTTTTCTTATGTTAACTGAGAGCTGAGTTGATGAGATAACCACCTGTCCAGTGACCTTGCAGGGCAGTCTAATCCCTCCTATAAACTACGGCAGATAAGCTTTAAGGGGAAAAAAATAGAAAAACAAAACAATAATTATTCTTTGATTGATTATTATGTATTATAAAATGGCTCTAGTATTCAACCATCGTGATTGGTCAATACGCGTCACATGACATGCACAAATTTTTTATGCAAGCACGATTTTGCAGAAAAAAGCACAAAAAAAGTTATATCCCACGTTACCATGGATATCCAGCGC